CTTTCCGCCGAACCTGCCCTTCAGACCATGTCCGAGGCCGGTCTCAAAAAGCGGTTGGAAAGATCGCGCAAATACTTTGTACTAGTGGAGTGCTTTGGCCGAGAGGTCCTCGGTCTTGTGCCGCAAGTATGCGTAACGCGCCTGGACAAGCTCAGCTTCGCAAGTATCCGCCGATACATGGCCTTCGCATCGGCTAGCAATCTTGGGATGACGGTGATGACCAATGGTCCTGGTCGCACTGGGCGCTTCCCCAGGGCTCAGAGAGAAGCCGAACGTCACAGATCCGAAGGAGAGCGAGGGTCGCCTGCAGACAGCCTGTCTCCAGCAGAGTGATCACGGCCTTTCTGCACATGGCTTGCAGTCATAGGCTGGAAGGATGGCGCATGGTCGCGGGGTCTTTTCAATGCTACTCGACGGCTTTTCATCGCGATGCTCGAATCAATGACACCGTGGATAGAGGGATCAATTCGATTACCCTCATGATTTGAAAATTCCGCCTGCCCCTCTCGAGTTAGCGCAGTCTGTCGCTACGGTGGCTCTCCGCCGTCGCGCCTCATGGAGTCGCATGCGATGGCGTGAGAAGCGCGATGTGCGCTCAAGGGTATGCGGATGCCTGCGGCCTGGGAGAAAGCTGCGTAAGCGACGGCGAGTCAAGGTTTTCGATGCACGTCAACGAATGAGGAAGCTGAGATGAAGGGCTGTCGAAGGGAGTCAGGACGACGGACAGACTGAGCCAGATGGCTTTACGTGGAGCTTCCACATCATCGCCATGCGTCTTGAGGAAGGAAGGGCATTCGAAAGCCTCGCCGATTCCTTCACTGAATTATTTTCGAAAGTATGGTCCCCTCTCAGCCGAGCATCTTGCGGAGGGGATCTGATCGCGCAGGCTTGTTAACCACCTTCAGTGGCCCCGCCAAGTTGATGGATGCCTGCCCGCGACTCATCTCTGTTGGAAAATCGGCTGTGACCCAGTATGCGGCAAGAAAAGGCCAATGTCATTAGAGGATGGGCGACAAAGCAAGCGTCTTACTTGCTGCTACCTCTCACCTCCGGTGAGTCGAACCGCGTTTGAAGGAGGGTGATTATAGAAGTCCTGCCGTAGCCAAAGACGGAGGGTCCGGAGAGTGCGACAGTCCTCCTGGCGTGGGGCAGTCGAGGCAGACATCTTCTGACTGAAGCCATCTGCCGCAAACAAGAAAGCAGATGGCGTTGGCTCGAGCCTTTCCTGCGCCCCGCCTTCTAAACACTGAGAGACCCGACAGTCTTGGTCAGCCATCGGCGATGTCGCCGTCGGCACGGTGGAAAGGAAATGTACATTGTCCGCCTCACGGCTGTGGCATTTGCCCTGCTACAGCATTCCAATGAAAGGCGGCAGATCACGATCATCATAAGAACATGCGTCTCTTTGAGCTGTGCCTTCCCAGACCGAGCAGTCACAAATGGCGCCTGTGTGGAATGACATCGACGCCGCCAGGAAGGCCTCGTCGAAATGCGCAGCTTGAGCGGCGGCAGCGCTGGCATCACGAATGTCCCATGAGCCACGCAGTCCCATAGAGAAAGTAGGAGACATCCCTTGCAGAGGTCCCAAGAACCCGGCCGAACAGATGCCTGCGTTGAGTTCCTCGGAGATTTGCCCGTTGGCTGATCTCCCTCTCGGCTGCCTCGACACGAAGGGCAGTGCCTGGGCGGCGAGTAATGCTTCTCCCTTACTTCTGGGCGGACTTCTCTTCCTCGAGGCATCCCGAGTGACGCATTCTGTCCCAAAGAGGCCCTCTGGTATCGCGGAGACATCCAAGGGACCAGCGCTTCGTAGGGTACAGGAAGCGGTCGTTCTTGCTAGTCCTGCGCTTGTGGTGCCCGTTGTACTGACCATCAACTCTTTTCTGGGCCTGCCAAGCCTGGCTTTGGGGGCCCACAGGCAGGATAATGATCGCGACGCGCACCGCGAGCAAGGATGGTGGCTGGCGGCTGGCTCCTGACCGAGCCCACTGGCTGGTGCCATGCGGACCGCTGCCGGAGCAGTGCCGTCGCACTTATGCTTAGCTCTTCTGCAAGGCATGCAGGCCATGTAGCTGCGATTGGCAGCTGCATGCCTGCGTTGATGAGAAGATTCTGGAAAGCACAGGCGCGGGCCGTCGGCAGAAGCCATGCGGGAGCTCAGAGCGAGGGCGAGAGAGGCGAGCGGTAGATGGGCGTGAAAAGGGCGACAGCGAGCTTAACCACGGACCAGTATTGGATGAGCCTCACTGGCAAGAGCCCGTGATGTTGGAGCTTTACAGGGTACGTGACACGATTGTGTCTGTGGCAAGGAGGGATCAAAGGAGTTGGGAAGAGGAGGGGCGCGGCGTTTGCTCAAAGACTCAGGGTCCGCGAACCGTTGTGGCTGACCTGCTCGCTCGCACAGGCCCACTTTCAGCGTGGGAACATCTCCTCCCCACGATATAAAATTTGCATTCAACGCTTCTCAAACTGATGGGCAATACTTTGCGCGTGCGAGAATCTTCTCGCGAGAGAGCACGGACGAGTCGAGGTCAAGAGCGCTGCGCTAGACAGTAACTTGAGCAGTGCTCAGCCGTTCGGAGACAATGGCAGATCGATACCATCGTCCGTTGCATTCGCCTACCTGGCGTTTTGGCGCTTGCGTTCCTCACGCATGCACTCGCGCAGTAGGGTTCGACCCAGACTCCCGGCCAGAGCGCGTGCGACCTCTCGCGATCATCACGGAGCGCAGTGCTGCGTGGGGCGCGAATTCAAGTCCGCTCATGCAGGGGCGGCCGCCCGCCCGGGCAAAGGAGCATGCATCCACGTCGGCCTCTGGCGCGGGAGGAAGAGAGGTGTGGGGTTCCAAAGGCTGACTGAACAGGAACGGTATGAGGAGGCGCAGGGAGAGGTGGAGTAACGTGCCGTGCTTGGCACGGCGTAGGACAGCGAAGACTCTCCTCCGAAGTCACGGTGTCCACGCGAAACACGACACCAACCGGTGGAATTGTCCATCTGGCGAAGTCGATCTGAACCAGGTCCCGGCATGCGAATCCACCTTGGCCATCTCGCGCCTACACCACGCTTATCTTGGATCGCCTCTTGGCGGAGAAGACCGTGCCATCGAAGCGGGCCTGGATGATCTCCAACTATTCTCATTGGTGCTTGAATTGCAAAAGTCGTGGGAAAGCTGCGAGTGTCGGGCAGAAGTCCCTGACCATTCTCCTTCCTTTGTCCTTGGTCGCGGCGGAGACAGCGGACTGGCGCATGGGCGCTGACAGACCTCAGATAGGGGCGGCCCGAGCGTGCTCCTTACAATTTCACATGAACAGCATACCATCGCGAGGCTATACTGTCGAGGGACCACCAGGCACGTTCTGATGTCTCGCATCACTCTCGAAGTCCGATGCAATTGATCCGCTGAAGCCATGTTCAACCACGATGCCGAAACAGTTCCGAGGAAATCTTCACAACACATTTCCGGACCCGGGCAATCAGAGGCACCGAAGCAGAGAACAAATCATGCGTACCGTTGTACAGGGGAAACATGCGACTTCTTCCGAGCTGCCGCCTGCCTCGACTACTTCGGGGCAATGAGAATGGGCTGCCCGTCCGCGCTGCGTCCGTGCACGGTCATTTTGCCTCTGGTCGGCCGAGGTGGCACGTCTGGTCAAGGATCGCGACGTGAAATTGCAGGCTTTGCTCGACACCGACGGTAGGGCCACAAATTGACAAATACATTGTGGGCGCCGACGGTCCTGAGCAGGCAAGACCCTACGGGGCCCTACGGGACCGGACAAAGCGTATTCCGCAAGCTGACAACGTCAATGGGGATGCTGCGGAGGCGCAAGGGGCGTTCAATCGCGGCAAACCTGGCGGCCATGCGCTCCTGGGTATGGACGGGAATTGTCATTCCTTTGGTGCACCACACGTGCGAGCTGCAGTGGTCGCCGAGTTGAGCGGAAAGAAAGGGGCTCGGGCCTCAGTTAGCTCTTCGCCCGCTCGTGTCGTTTCCCTCCTCTCCGTCGCCACAGTGCCCGTCCCCTCTGCTCCACTACCGCTGCTAGGCGCTAGTCCACCACTCGTGGGGCCGGATCCTTCGCCACCCCTGCCGCAGTCGTTGCCGACGTCGTCTCGCGGCCTTGGCTCTCCGCTCCTATCGCCTCTCCGCCTCTTGTCTCTGTCCACTCACTCAGGAGGTTCGACTCCTTGAGCCGCGAACGTGCAGCTGACGAGCGCCATTGGCTCGATGGCTCCTGGCAATTTCCTAGGCATGTAGGTAAGGGGTCTGCGTAGGCCTGTGGTCATCAGAGGAGGCCAAATTAGCCAAGGTGAGCTTGATGCGATACCCTCCCTCTTTGCGGACCGACAGAAAAGTGCCGAGCTGCTTATTTCCGTCTTTGAGCTTGTTCGCGGATGCTACGCAAGCGTCGATGAAGTTGCGCGTCAACATCTCGGTCATGACCGTGCCCGCCAAGCTGGAGGCCCTAGAAGGCCTGCCGAAGCAAAATGATGTCGAAGACGATGAGCAGGATATAGACACCCATGGCCGGCCTGCTCCTCCTCCTGCGGGTCCGTAGTCAACGCTCAACTACGGGTCCGACATGACAAGGGCGCGCGATTGGTCCACACCGGCAGAAAGTGCAGCCTAAGGAGGCTCCGCTCGAGGCGCGCCCCGAGGTAGTGGTCGCAACCGCTGATGAAGCTGGGGAAGGGAAGGAGGGACAGGAGGCGCAGGCGCTGCATTCCAGTGGGCGAGCAGGTTCCTCAGCACTGCGTCGACCTCTGAGGAGCGTACCAATTCGGACACCGAAATGAGTGTCGACGTCTCTCCGTCTTCTGCGCCCATCGCTCGTCCCCTTGCTATATCATGCATGATGAGATTGACAGTCAGAGGCGGACAAAGCGTACTTCAGGCTGCTGTTGCTACTGCTGCTGCTGCTGCTGCTGCTGCTGCTGCTGCTGCTGCTGCTGCTGCTGCTTATCCGGCTTGCGGCTGGAGGTGATTAGTTTGCGCCGCTGCCGAGAGGTCCTTCCTGGCGTCGTGTCAGTACAGTCGCGGGGGAGACGCGACCATTTAGGCCGCCCTAGCATCGACTATTGTGCAGAGTTCGAAAGTGCCTTCTCTGGCCGAGTACCGTCGTGTCCGACCGCGCTGCTTTGGGGACACCGTGGAAGACGTTCAGAGAAAAGAGGACAACGATTCAGCACGAAATGCAGAGGGCTTGCGTTGCTGCAAGTTCCGGAATGATGGCGCTTCGCAGCCTTACCTGGTGTACTGACCCTTCCGTACGTGGAAGTCATGGAGACATCAATGCCCGCTGTGGATTGATAGAGCCGTTCATTCCGCCTGTCTTTGAGCTCCCGCAGGGACCTGCTCTGTACCTCAATGACGAGGCCGATCGGTGGACTTCAGGCTCGCGACGGTCCTGGGGACCTCGGTGGCGGTGGCGATGGCGGCGGCGGCGTCTGTCGATGTGAGTGGCGTCCGATGACAAAAGCCTTCTGCTGCGTGGAGCCTTAAGGCCTCATCACCAAGCAGCGACGACCACGTCCGGGCTGAGGAAGTGCCACGTATCAGGGCAGGCAACAAAGCTGACGGTGGCTTGACAGGCTGTTGAAGTGATCGGAGGAGTCTGCGGGCTTGCGCAATTTGGGCATTTTGAGAGAAATGCGCCAGCCATACGATAAACAGGAGGAAGAGGTTGACCAGTCCGATCTCTAGTACGACAGCAACTTCATCTTGCCCTCTGTCTTCGCGCCTTGAGCGGCGTACCTAAGGGCAAAATCGACTCTAGGGTTGACATAGGGGCCTCGAGGCGGTGACGGAGGAGCAGCGAAGGGGGGAGTTGTAGGTCGCACGGTCCCCACCGTCGATGATTTTTGCCCTTGCGAAGGGCACTTCAGCTCGTAGACAGCCGGTGTGAGTCACCTGAGCCTCAGACGCGGACGGGTTGATGGCGTTGCGCAAGTGTTTCCGAACATCATGAGCAATCGCTTCTACTCCCTGCTGTCCCTGGCGCCTCGAGGCTTGTGCGAGGCTGTAAGCGGCTGCTGAAAGGGCTGAGCGTCGAGTAGAGGGGCGTGCGGGCTTCGGTCGAATTCTCAAGCCCTTGCCCCTGTACCGTGCGTATTGTTCTGCTGATGGGCAGCAGCAGCGGGAGTAAAAGCTGGGTGCTCTTACAGTGTGCTTCGTTGAAATCGAGGTGCTCAAATGCAGCGTCTCATTCGCTGGAACTCTGATGCCGCGCTGCAGCTGCCCGGTCTTACCTGCCTTTAGCACCTAGACTGCGCGAGGTCGATGACACTTCCGCCGGATGTAGCTGCGAAAGTTTGCATTGACGGAGGGGCGTCGATCTTGAGGCCGCTTGTGAAACATGAGTGAGAGGAAGTAAGAAGGAATGTGTGAGGGGACAGGCTGACCTGCTATTTGCCGTGCAGTCCGCCGCGCCATCGCCGGCCGGACCGGAAGGGGGGATTGGCCTCAGTCCAAGCTCGGTCCAATTTTAGTTCGTGCATCGTGTCACCATGGGCGGAACGGCCCCAGACAATCGCTGCAGGGAAGGGCGCCTCACGCGCGCGTAATCTGGGGGAGACCTCTGTGGCAAAATCCTTTTGTCCTCTACTCCTTCCTTTTGGCCTACCTCTCATCGTGAGAGTGCGAATTGTGGAAACACGCAGGCACGACTGCTATCAATGTTGTTGTCCTCAGCTCACAAGGACTTTTCATACCTGCATCTCTTCATATGGTCGAACGCGCCCCGCAGCGCAGCGAAGTCCGTGGCTCGTCCGGGGTGCGACTGCCTTCGATCGTCTCGGTCCTGGGCAGTGCGCCAGGAGACATCTTTACGTTGCCATCGCGCCGAACCCCTCTCAGAGACGCACAACAAGGGACGGCGGCGGCTTTCACCAACAAGGATCGGCCGACGGAAGAACATGCGCTGCCCATCGACATGTTAGCTCCCTCCGACATTTTAGGACGAGCTCGCCAGACAGCATGTACAGCATCTAAGCCGGAACGCGCTCTCCGCACCGGAGTGCCAAATGCTCGCGAAGCACGCGAGGCTTCGACAGCCTCATTACTCCACCCGTATCCATATATCGACTGGTCGCTACTTAAAGATGCTCCGTCCAGCCCCCCCCCCTTCGAACGGACGGCAGCGCAATGTCAATCTTTCGCAGCGTCGGGAAATGTGGGCCGGCAATTCTGCGTACGCTTTGCGCCTGGTTCGTCCGACGCGCATGCAGTATTATCCAGCCTGAGATGCCATTCGGACGACCTGAAGGTAGTTTGCAGGGAGGCTGCTCTCCCTTCGACAAGTCGTCCGCCTCCTAGGCCAGGACAGATGACCTCCAGGTTGGCAGCAGTTCCTCGCTTCCTTCCCAGCTCACCGCGAGGCCATCGAGTAGGCGATAGCAGTGTCGAGCCCGACGGCAGAGTTCTGCATGAACATCACGAGCTCTTTGCCATAGGCAGCACTTCTGGCGGAAATCGGAACCTTCGGCAAAGCAGAAGCACGAATGGCGGCGGGCGGAGTCAAGTCGCGCCGAGCACACGATCGGATGCTGTGCTCAGCGGCCGATGTCTCTCCGGCCAGCCGGCATTTTCTCTTCACGCCCACACATTTCGCGGCCAACCTAGCACGCCGCAAGCACGTCAGGATGCCAACGATGCCTGGCGGCCATCTAAGCGCTCTGGAGGCCCCACCTTGAAAACCAAACGTGCGGGCGAACCGTCATCATGCCTTGCCTGCGGCTGCGTCGCTACGGCTGAATGGCGCAGCGGCCCCGCGGGCCCGAGGACTCTGTGCAATGCATGCGGGCTGCACTATGCAAAGAAAGCGAGACTCGAAAAGCCAAATGTCCCATCAAAGGTGGGCGTGCTGACGGACGTCTTTGAAACTCTGCGCAGAGATAGAAAGAAAAGATGGCTGCGACAGCAATCTCGACGTTGGGCATAGATGCGCAGTTCCTCTAGATCTGTCAGACAGGAAGCTTCTCAGCCTATTTCACCGCAGACGATGCGAAAGGAGAGGATCTTTCAACTTTCTGACCTCTGGCGTGGACCGCTGCTGGTCAGCACGGAACACTCACGGCGCAAGTCAATGCATTCACTCGGCGTCGCAAATGTGTTCTAGCCACGGCGATTCGTGTCTATGCGGCTCGATTTCTGCATCACAAAGCAGCTGCCTGGCCTGCTTCGATTTTCATTCTTGTGCATCGTAGCGCGAATCAAAGTAGGCCTCTACCCCTCTGTTGAGGGTCAAACCTGGTCGCATAGGTCGGCCGTGGCACCCCGTGGGCGGCTGAAGACCGCAGACTGAGACCATTTCAGGAATTGCCGTCGCTTTCTGTCAACGAATGAGGTCGCAGGAAAGCACAGAGGTCAAATGAGGTGGGCTGGGCCGTAGCGCAAAGTGCTGTGATTTTCGTTGGTTGAGTTCACTTCCCTCTGAAGGGCATGGCCAAGTCCTCGACGCCATTGACCTGCCATCGCCAGAGCGACATCGCTGCGTGGCGGATGCAAGTCAAGGCTGCCAAGCGTGCCTACAGCTGTCCCTCGACAGTGTGTGGCCGGTGTTCTTCTGAGCTACAGGGCAGAGCTCCTCTACGATTGCGAAGGCTGGCCTCACCAACCCGTGGCAGGCCTGGCTGGGTAGCGAGGACGAAGATACAGAATTGCGTTTCGCGTCGCCTGCGATCCCGCTTGGTGAAAAGTGTCTGAACATGGCGGCAAAGGAACAAAGGCACAAGGAGCCCGGTGTTGTAGCACTCATCTGCTGACAGGCCATTGATGAGAGATCGGTCGTGCTGGTATGAAGATATCTTCCAACAACAGTCATGCGCGAGCACGCCTGTCCGCAGCGTCTGCGACAGATGGCGAGCGGACCCTGAATTGAGATGACCGACAATTACTCGACAGGGTGGTACCACTCGATGCATGGCAGTTTGCGCTGCCGCTGCTGCTATCGCGGTGGCAGCTCCGATGCCCCGCCAAAAGGTTGCGTGGCGCTTGTCGCTTGCACGGCAGCGCGTCCGCGCACGGTCCTCTCGTTGCCATCGGTGTCACATCCTAATCGCCATCGATCGCCATCGCGCCATGCTACCAGCTGGATATGGACATGATATAAAATCAGCTGAGGCGTCGATGACTTATCCTCTCCTTCTGCATACGGGACGATTCTATCTTGACAGACGAGCAAAATGTCTCCTCATCGAGCCGTCATTAAGCACCTTCCCGCCGGCACCTGTCTTGGTGCAGGGGCATTCGGGAGCGTCCACATCAAGCACGTCGGAGGTGTCCAGGTGCGTACGCAAGCAACTTCGCGCTCGCTCAGATTCTTGCTCAAACTGATCGTCGAAATTGCTCAGATGGCTGTGAAAAGGGTCAACGGGGCCGTACGGTCAAGCACAAGGGCGTACGCGCGGCGGGAAGCGGCTCTGCTACAACGCTTGCGCCACGACAACATCGTGGCCTACCATCACTTCGAGGAGCACCAGACTTTCTCTCTCCTGTCGATGGAATATTGCGCCGCAGGCGACCTGCACAACTTCATCCATAGTGTACAGTGAGTCAACGACAATGAAGCGTTGCAGGACCGAAAGCTGACGATTCGGCTGACCAGAGACGAGCACAAGCGCTCCTCGGACTTGTGTCGAATGGCTGCTGAGCTTGTATGCGCTGTGCACCACTGTCATTACGGTATGGGTCCCCACTATCTGCTGCACGGCGATATCAAGCCGTCGAATGGTGAGCCCTGCACAAGCTGGTGGCCATGTCTCTAGGTCAGTTCTGATGAAATATGGCCACGTGGTCGCCTTTAGTGTTGATCGCAGCAGACGGCACCGTCAAATTAGCCGACTTTGGCCTGTCGAGGCTCAAGAGTGGCGGCCACCTGGAACGATGGAACTTCGTCGGCGTGAGTCACGATCTTGACGAGATGCTCAGTCGGCGAGGCTCGAAGTATACTACATGCAGATCCATTGAACAACCCTGCTCCCCGTTTCTCCACCCGCTACCTCTCCTCTTTCGGCTCCTTGGCTCCGTTTACCCGCTCAGACGCCTGGCTATACAGCTCCAGTGAGATCCTTCGACGATTTCGGCCGATAATTGGCGGCGATGCAGCTGCTGATCACGCTCTTCGGTCGCAGGAGATCCTCCGGCGTTTTCCTTATGGACCAGCCAGCGACGTTTGGTCTCTCGGTTGTACCTTGTACGAGCTCTTCACCTCCAGGCGAGTGGAAGCGAGATGGACGGAGTGCTTTCGTAGTCTCTGTAGCTGACAGCCATCGCAGGATGCTTTTCCAAGAGGTGCCGGCTCTGTCGACGCGGACAAAACAAGGTCTGCTCAAAGATTCTTTCCACAAAGAGGCTCTGGCCTTGCTGTCGTCGCACTGCACTGATTTGATCGAGTCAACTACACGAGTTCACGTACGTCGCTCGTTAGCATGGATGGCAGGACCGATCAGACCTTTCTGACACCGCGACCACTTCCGATCAGGCGAGTGAGCGGCCGACGACCGCCGCACTTCTGGCTCAGTCCCACATTCTGGTGTGGTTGAAGGACGCCGTTGCTTCGCCAGGTGTCGTTCAAGGTGGCGGGCGTTCTTTTGAGCGACGAGGCGGCCACATCGAGCTACGGGAAGACTGCTCTTCCCAGTGTCCGGCAGACGGACCCGCCGACGCTATGCAGTCTACGATGTGTCAGCGAGATCCAATGCCCGGCAGGACGCGCAAAGGTTTTGACGTGGAGCGCCAGATCGCTGGCAAAGACTGCCAAGAGGGTGATGGTCTGGTGGGCCTGCAGAGTCAGTATTTCACCGCCATGCCTCGGCCGTTGGCGTTCAGCACAAAGTCGATGAGACAGAATCTATCCAAGTGAGTCCGTTGTACGATGAGAAAGGGCTGTCTCGAATGCTGACCTGCTGAGATCCTGCCGCCCTTTGCTCAGAGGCTTCAAGAAGCTGAAGTTGGGATAGACCTCTCCAGATGCAGTGCCCGGAAGCTGTACACTGACGATCTTCGAATCGACTTTATCAAGAGAGTGCGCGCCCGATTGCGAACAACAAAATACCGTCCTATTTGACTGCTTCACGTCCACACCACTCCCTTTCTCTATCGCTTGATGGCGTCAGGCACCTGCCGTCGAGCGACGACAACGATCCCTGTTGACATTGTATCTCTTTCGAGCGGCCGACGGCGGCGCTCACCATAAGAGTAGATGCCCCGCCGGACGGGGTCTCAAAAGTTCGCCCTTCGACTGAGCTTGGGTCTTCGGTGCAATCAGCTCGGGACAGTGACGCAAGAGTGTTGGCAGTCGCCCATGCGGGACTGCAGCCGCTGACAAGCAGCTGGGTTTGCCCTACACATGAAAAGGCTCGAGATGGCGTAGGCCGAAAAGTCAGCGTCATCAGGTATCAAGTCGTATGCGTTTTCCTTTACCCGGCGAGCGTTTCGCAATTTCGGCGACAGATCACGGTCTGTTGACGGCAGGTTGGCCACACAAAGCACAGCGGGCTTGATTCTGCTCCCGCAGGGTGGCGGCCCGGGAAGGCAAAGTGGTTGAGCGTTCTGCGGGCTCTGCGAGCGCAACTACTGCGATTGCAGTCAGTGCCAGCAAGAATCCACGGATACGGTCTGCTCGAGATAAAGGGAGCTCATGATACCAAGCGGATGCTGGACATGCCCGCGCCTGTGGCAGGACTTTGAGCGCGAAAGTAACGTGACGGCCTGCTCCTGCACTTCGACTAGCTGTTGAGGACGATATGACAGCGCTGGCGGCTCCACACGGCATGCACCTGGCCTACTACAGCCTTCCACCGCCTGAGTGGATTTACGCGAGGCCGTCTCCGGCTCGTAGCCCTCTGCCAGCTTTTGTCGTATGTCACACGCCGGTGTTCGGCTCAGTCGTGATTGCAATGCCGGCCATGGTCGCTGAGACTTCGCTGATGACCTTAGGCGACTTCTTTGTTGAGGGTGGCCTCCAACTCGCTCAGCAACGATGACGTACTGTACCTGGTCCCCGACTTCTCTTGCACAGGCAACAGACCCTCTCCGCAGCGCTCGACTGAGCAACAGAGGCTTGACGACGCCGATGATGGCCAGGATGAGGGAGATCGCGAGGTGAGGATGGGCAGGTAAGCCGCGCACGCTGCACGACGCTTTGTCCACGTCCGAATTGGCTTCGACTTGAATTCGAACTTGACCACAACCCACCCTACGCTTGCTCTCGCATGACGCCACCTGTGCTGTCCTTGTCGCTCGCGCCGCATATCCGCGAGCCCATCACCTCGCCATCGTACTTTGCTCTCGCGCATCGCTTGATAGGCCGAGCCCGTCGTTCATTCATCTCCTCTCCTTCCACCGTAAACCGCTGACCGCGCATATCATAATACAAAGACGCCGCCAAAGATATTTTGCTTCTGTCCGTGATTTGTATGCGGATTAGCCGCCTCTCCCGACTTCAAGAGGCCCCGGAACGCAGCGGGGGCCGCAATGGCGTCAAGGGCCAAGTCACCAGCGTTTGCACCCGACGACATCGACGACCTGCGCGTGCCGTCGCACGACGACGACTCGAGACCGCTCGACGCCCAGCTGCTCGCCTCGTGCTGTGGCAAGGTCGAAGGAGCCATGCCATCAAGCAACGATGATTGCGACCAGGGTGACGGTCTGCTTGTCGCCTTTTCCAGAGGAGGAAGAGGAGCAGGGGCAGGGGGGAAAAGCGGCAGAGAGAGAGTCTTTGTGACGGGAGCAGCGGGCAGACTGCTCGCTACAAAGGATTGGTAAAAGTCGTCGAGCTCGTTGTCCGGAAACGCTTCTGGAGGCGCGCCGGGCCAAGCAACAGAGGTGAGAGCGTCTAACGAGGCAGGCACCGACGCTGAAAATGGTGACACTGCGGTGCTGAGTCTTGAAGAGGAGGGCGGCAGGGGTAAGGCGCCACTGCTCGCTGCCGGCGCAAGGCTCTCTGAGTCGAGGGTGCCTGAGGCTACTGTCGAGGACCAGGGCCGCGGTGATGGCTGCATGGCCGCGGTCGTCGTGGCCAACTGTGCAGGGCTGCTGCTACCTTCGGCACTTCGTTTCTCGCGGCCCGATGGAGCAGCGCCTGCGGTGCTGAACAGCGGCAGCGACTGCCACGCATTGCGCGTACCGCTGCTGACCTCGTAGCTGGCCGCTCGCACGCCCGCGCTAGAATGCAAGCCACCCCGAACATCATAGCCAGCCGCCGACAGCCCGTCTACCTGGCTGCCCGAAGCGCTGCACGTCGAATTCGCCCGCGACCGTTTGTTGGACGCCGAGCTCTTGCGAGCAAAAAATGACGAGTGGCTACTTGCAAGATTGTCGTCGTCGCTCGCCCCGCTGCTGCGGCTCGACGAGACCGTGGATGAAAAGGACGCTACCTTGGCGTGATGCATGTTTTGGCGCACCGATTTGAGGCGGAAGATGGAGGATGGGACGGCCGCAGACGCCGTTACGCCTTCGCTTGAACAACATCCAGCCTTGAACTGCTTGATGAGGTTGTAGCGGTTGCGCACCTGCAAACCCGTCCGAGAGCCGTGCTGCTTGGCAATCTCGTTCCACGAGCAGTCCAAGCGGATGTGCGACGCGTCTGACGGCGCGGGCGGCAGCGCAATGCAACCAGCCGCGCTGAAGCTCCGACCTTTGAGCTGCTCGCCAGCAACGTCAAAGCATCGGTGTGCATCGATGAGCCGCAGGAGTCGCCTGTCCTCGTCATGCGACCACTCGCAGCGATTAAGCGCCGGATTGAGGACTTCGCGCCAACGCTTGCTAGCTTGATCGCCCGAACGCGTCCCGATGGCACGCGCAATGGCTGCCCACTTGATTTTGCGCAGATCACAGTTGCGCTGATTGGCGTACTCGGACATGGCTTTGAGAAGTTGTCGGTCCTGCAATGCAGGGGCAAGCGCGCCCAGGTGAAAATATTGGAAGATCAGCCACGGCGCGCGGGTGCGGGGCACGCCGAGCGCCACGCCCACTCACCTCATCCTCTGTCCAGGCTCCCTTGCGCAGATTCACATCGAGAGAATAAACAAGACGCTTGCGACAGTCCTTGGCCGTTCGGCCAGGCAGGCGGCTGGCCACCATGGCCCAGCTGATATGCGCAATCGTCTCTGGGTCCGCCGACGCGGCATCATCGGCGGTGTTCGCAATGCCGGCGGCTTCCTTGGCTGCGCGGCGCGATGCGTGACGGGTCAGCTTATGTAGTAGGTGTCGCTCGTCTCACCCGTTACAGCTCACCAGCACGAAGCGCCTCGAAGAGGACTTGATCTTCCTGCGCAGACCATGCTCGACGACGACGTTGGCCAGTTTCAGAGTCACGGGCGCGAGGCATCGAGGAGAAGGATGCGGCCGGCGAGGAAGAGGCTGCGGGAGCAGCGAGAGCGGCGAAAGTGGCCGCCATACTGGGGCGAACTTCGTTGCGAGGAGGAGGACGAAGAGTCTTTGGGGAGACGCCGACTGCTGATGAGAGGGTGCCGAGGAGTGGATCTGAGGGTCGGTGGTCAACGACCTTTCGACTTGATAGGTAGTGGAAGCCGACGTCTGCAAGGCCCCTACGCACGTTGGTGTCTACCTGCCCCTGCCGCTCGGAGATGCGGCAACGCAACGATGACTTGGAGACAATCGCTCACTCAGTAATGCGACGTTGCTGTGATCGGCGGCGCAGCAACGCAATAGTATCCAGATGGGGTCGGTGGGAAAGGAGGTCTGGTGAGATGTGTGGACCTCAGGTGAGCCACAAAAGTACCCGGGGGGGCGAGGGACTGCGCCCGGTGCGAGCGCGTCAGCGCTCGCGAGCATGTCCTGCACCACCCTCGACGGTGTGTCGGCGCCTTCGAGAAAGCTCCGATGGCTCATTGCCAAACGACGCTGGGAACGCACGCCTATGGCGTACGCCGCTCAGGTGCCTGAGTCTATCTCGGCGTTAGCGGCGGTCGGTTGCCCCGATCGACCTTTCGTCCTGTCCTCCTCTCAGGAAACGCCGCTCCGTTAAGTTGAACTAGCTAGACCGGAATTCCATGCATCTCGCTTGCCTCCATCGCGGGCTGTCGCTTGCACCTGCTATTGCGACGCAAGCGAAGGATCCTCTGCGGACTGGCAGGGCTCCTCAAGCCTGCAACGAAGCGTACCGCGCCTGGCCGGCCGCGCCGCTAAAATATTCTCGTGGGCCTGCGCCTTCCCCGGCGCCAGCGCGGAGAAGCCTTCGTCACTGACGGCCACCGAGGAACAGGAGCGGGCTTTCCCTGAAACCCATCAGCGCAGCGGGCAATGGTGCAAACAAAATGGCGCGGATGCCGCCGCCCGAGATTGCAGTCGAACGTGTCCTGGGCGTGCTCTACTCACCTCCGCGCGAGGCAATTGAGCGATGCCCTTGTGGGCAGCCGCCGCGCCCTCGCCACTCGTGGGAACGTATTGCTCTTTGGCACGCCGACACTTCGGTCCGCCGACCTTGCGCCACAAGTCCGCGGCTGAAGTGGAAGGGTCAAATGAGCTAGTGAGCGAGCTGCCATCTCCCAGGATCGTCGGCGGTGGAAACGCTAGTACATGCATGCGCGCACGCCACCATGTAGCACACTATCCTGAAGACCTGGTGTGGCCGGCGGGCGACTCATGGCTCAAGCCGCTCCATTGTTCGGTCTAAAGTCTTCTGAATGTGCTCGAGCCACCGCCGTTGACGAGACGATGCTATATCAATACAGGCCGATGCCGTTGTGCGAGAAACAGGAGAAATCGAGAGAGTGCATGGCGCTTCTGATACCATCATACTGGCCGGTCTCACAATTGCTGCCGACATTCTGAATCTGGTTTCTGGGAATTCAGGTCCTGCTCGACGTGAGCGAAGCAAGCCTCTGAGACAGATCGGCGATTTGCTCTGTATAAAATGATTGTACCGTCTGCCGCGAAGACATCATTTGCGCTTGGGTCTCGTCTCGACGAGCATTTCTTCAACAGCTCGGTCAAGGTCGTCTCATGGTCTTCCCCTGATTCTCACCATAGCGTTGACGACGTGCAAGAGCGGCGCGTCGCAGACGACATCAAGGATGTGTCCTAGTGAAGCGACTGTCGCTTCCGACCGTATCTAGAAGGGGGAGCGGGGGGAGCGGGGGGAGCGGGGGGAGCGGGGGGAGCGTGGGGGAAAGGAGGCAAAAATGCGCGCTGCTGCCCAATGCGACGGCGCCTTCGCTACTCGTTCCCGACTTCGATCCTGTGCAAAAGGGCGGGCGCATCGAGGACGACACTCGCGGCAAGGACGAACAGGAGATCAAGACGTCGAATGGGCCCTTCTGTACGAATAGCAGATGTGCATTCAGGGGCAAGAAGCAACTCGGCTGGGAGGCCGAACGGACGTTAGACTTTGCTGCAGCGAGAGAGGATGCCAAAGAGACTGCCAGGGTGATCGTACAGCGTTCAATTGTCTAGACGTCTCCGAGTCGACATGTCTAGACAGTAAAAGGTGCTTACGGCAGCGTGTGTCTCAATCACTAATCGACTGATGTAGCTGAGGATCGGTCGAGCTGCCAGTCGCGGGGTCCATGAGATCTTCTACGTATGACGACATGTCGGGGTCTGCACTTGTGGTGTTGAGATTTGGGCAGGTGGATTCGATCGAGGCCATTGACGTCCCTGTGCCTCCCACGCAGGAGCCATCTGCCTGACAAGAGACACATTGCTTCGTGATGGATTTGCCAGTCGGCTTCTAACTGACGTAGCCGCTGCTTGCGGGAACCATAATGGCGCTTCCATCGTTTGCCCATGCGACTGCGTTCGTCTCTGAGCTGTTGGCAAGCGTGCGGCGGGCAGGCCGATGTGTCGGATATTGTTGTTTCCACTGGACATTGAGAGAGATGCGATCGCCGGAAAGTCAGCAAAGATGGCCGAGGTCAGCGTGCGGAAGCTCTCTTGCCCACTTCTTCAATCCACAAGGGTGCTTGGGGTACGACTCGCGATCGGCGGAGTCAGGATCGGCCTTCCATTCAGCGCAGCGAGTAATGTTGAAAGGCCTACTGTAAGTCCTTGTAAGAATGATTTGTAACTTGCCTTCAAACAGAGAGCTGTGTTTTCGAACTTTCTTCACTGTCAGGCGAAGAAGGTCAAGGACGTGCGAGCGAGTGCGCCACGCGTTGTGCAAGTGGAGACGTGAAGAGAGACGGCGGAGCTGCCCGCGCTGTTGATGGTGCTCTCATGGAATCATCTGCTCCGCTGCAGGCGCGGGACGCAATTACTGAGCAGCCGCCGGGCCCAGAACCGCTCTGCGCCACCTCCTGTTGCCAAGTGAGACAGGCGCGGGGAGTGAAGGAGAGGGGTGCGGGATTACGATCACGGCTCAGTCTCGACATACCCATAAATTGCGATTTCAGCGTTGCGGGACGCCTGTTCCGACACGAAGCGCAGTGTGACTTCGAGAAAATCCATCGTCCCGAAAGCCTAGGCAAAGAGGCTGGACCAGCTTTCCATTTCCAAGGTCGTGTCTGAAGGAATCCAGAAGTAACATGTGAACTTCTTGAGCCAGCGACGTAAACTCTGAGCCCAACGATGTTCATCGTCGCGGCTCCTCCTCCATATATCATGTGGCTCTGCGGTGCCTCAGACGACCTTACGATCGATCAATCAATCCACCTCAATCTTTTCGCACCATGATCCCCCTCCGCCCACTTTTGCTGGCCGCCCTGCTGCTCCAAATCCTGGTCACTCGGGTTGCCGCCTTTGACTGGCAGCTCATCTCTTCCGACTGCTCTCGATTCCTTTTCCAGATCACCTTGATTGAGCAAGAGGCCACTCAAGGCTCTTACATCTCCATTCAGCCCGTCGTGGGCGGAGTGAGCGATAGTGAGTGCCATCGAGTGATCCTGGCTCCAGTGAACATGTGCTCAGCCGCTCATTGTCCCCTTGATAGACGAATTCCGTCTCGACATTGGCCATTACTACCCGCCCTCAAATCTGCAGCATCAATTCTACTACTACCTCAGCAATTCTGCGACCGGCGCCGCCGATGTGATCGTTACGATCACCATCATCGGTCCTAGCGGCACCCCCATCATCTATCCCCAAGGAACGGCCGACGATCAGGAAACGGAACGCTTTACCCTCGCTTGCTCGGCATCCAGCCAGCCCTCAAGGGTCTCGTCGTCTGCGACCTCGACCTTTACGTACAGTACGCCGTCATCTTCGGCTACGGCCGTGCCAGCTGCGACGAGTTCGTCCAGTGCGCCGACGGCCACGTCCTCGATCAGTGGGTGCACCTAAGTTCGAAATACGAGGCTCGTGTTCGCTGACACTCACTTCAGGCAGCGACTGTCAATTGAATTGCGAGTCCCGTTGCCCAGGCGACACGCACAGCGGCTGTCAGTCGGGGGACTCTGATTATTACTCATGTGTGCAACGTCATCAAGCCCAGAAGCAAGTGAGTTATCTCCTGGCAGCCTCGAGCAACGCGAGCTCGACAGCTGACACGACTTGCTCGCGCTCTCTTGCCAGATCTGTATGGCACCGTGTCTGAGCGGATGTCTTCAGGCTGTCGCTTCATCCGCTGCGGCCTCGACCTCCTCCTTTCGCGCAAGCAGCCCGCACAGCGTCATTGTTGTTCCGACCAGAACTTCTGTCAGTGCCGCTACGTGGGGCCCAACAGCCCCGCCTTTTGCGATTTGGATGACGTTATCGATCGTACTAGGCCTTGTCTCCTATGCGTAGCTGCGCTCAAACCCTGCTTGTATCAGCAAGGTGGTTCACGGTCGGAAGTCACGCACGCCCCGGATGCGAATGTCCAATGAGACTGCGGAAAGCTACGACGCATGAAAGCCTGTCATTGGAAATAAAGGCGACGCATTGGCTGAATGAAAAGTTGCGTGTGTGTCGACCGGCGCAAGGGATGGAACATACGCGCGCGACGATGGCATTCTCACTCGAAGCACAGAAGCATCCTCTCGCCAAGCACCAGGCAAGATGGCTCACGCGCTTTGCGAATGCTTGATTCGCGCCAAGGTATCATCGCAGTCCAGTAGCCGTATTTGATCACCTCAGAGTCATCCCTTCTCTCTTTGGCCTTTCGAAGCTTGTTCTCTGAAGCTTACAGACCATAGACACCGACCGATTGTGGAACGCCAAAGTGCGGCGTGCTGAAAAAGAGGGGCATTGCAAGGCCACCAAAGAGACCTGCAACGAGCAGCGTGGACACCCTTCCAAAGAAGATCCATGTCAGCTGCTTCCTGTTGATGCATCCCGAACTTCATTGGGCGAGCGTGAAGCCGACAATGCCACGGGTAATGCATTGCGTAGCCGGACCGAGCAGACCGAGGCGCGAGGCGAGAAAGACTGGAACAACGGCAGCAAAATCGGCTGCGTACCATCGCGTCGGCAAAAGTCGCGTAGTTCCGTTACCCAAAGTACGAATGATGCGGAATCTAGACGTAATCTATACGTCCAAAAGCCGGAAGCAATGCCAAGACCGAGTACGGCTGACAATCAGAGAGGCGTACCCTGACGCGCGGAGATGACGCTGCTGTTGCGCCATGTCACGCATTCGGTGAAGGAGCCGAAGGCACTGTTGACGGCGTTTGCGCCGTGCGCTGCGGACACGAGAGCGGATGAGAAAACTTCCGCCGTAGCTTCCTTCGCCTCTCCATTCTCTTCCTTAGACTAATCCAAGTTGCGACCTTCATCTGTCGTGATTTTTCACTTCAATTTCGGGTTTGTATCAGTGGGGCAAGCTGACGGAATTGAATGTACATCGAGCCTTAGCAGATATCAAGGCAAGCCGTCACGCACTTTTCAGGTCGCCCATAGAGGCATTACAAGAGCACAGTGACGCCCGTATTGAGGCAAAGAATGATGGCAGAGCCAACGAGGAAGAGCATCCATCAAAAGCTGTGCGCAACCCCTCTGATGAGGTCAGCCCAAGGCGGGGGAGACTTAACCTCCGCTTGCGAGGAGGTCGATGGCGGCGCTCAATCGCAGGTTGAAAAGTCCGTGTCCATCTCGTCAAGGAGAGTAGCGCGTGAGGGCCGAGTCGAATCACCCTCCGAACACGATGAAGGACACCAGAAGAGACTGAAATCATCTGCTGCGCACGCCACGAGTTGGACTTCATTGTGATCAGTCGAGGCTCTGAACAATCTACATGTGACCAAAGACTGACTGCTCACGGCGACGCCGCGCCAAAGGGAGGGTTTTCAGCGCTGCGGTGCGTGTCATCATTCTTCTCTATGGCGCTGCAATGCGTGCTGTCATTCTTTCCCCTGGCTGCTCACTCGGGCATCAGGGTATATGCGGAATGTTGATGCTGCGTGTGACACCTGAGGTGGCGGCGATACGACTGAGGCACAGCCGAGGCGACGAGAGGGTTGCGATGCGCAGGCCATCAGGAGTGGTTGTTGAGAAGCGGGGAGAGAGCGCTCGCCCAGACCGCTCGCGCGCGAATCGAGGGAGGAACCAAGAAAGAGCGAAGCGTGGCGTAATGACGCCCGACTATGTACTGCATTCGCTTTTTACTGTCCTATCTATCACTACCAACCTTGACCCTGACAAAACAACGCCTTTGCCCAAGCAATCGCTCTTCTTCGCATTCTCATCATCGAGCACGCTCAAGGCTCAGCCTCGAACTCCACCTGTCCGAGGCGGCATCGCCAATCAATCGTTATGATCCGCAATCCCAATCATCGCGCTGGTCGGCTCGCCATCGGACTTTTCTCCCGGACACCCAACCACGACCTCGTTCCGCCCACAATCGCAGCAATATCGTAGCGCCCGCCCGCGCAGCCACCGTTCTTTGGCACTCTTCTACTTTCGCACACATCTCTTTGTACCACTCGAGCAATCACAGTTTGGCAATCTCTGTGTCCCAATTGCTCGCCCTCGCACCCTTTGTGCCACTCGAGCGAGCAATCGCTTCTGTGTTGACGCATCGAAGTAGAGTGAAAATGTCAACAGATTTTGTTGCAGTCTCTTCTCTCCTCACCGCATGACGCTTCACTAAGCACCCCTATCCACAATCTCACCCGGTAGCATACCACCATGACAAGCAGGTCTGCAAGAGAGGCTCGCTGTCCATCGTCGCTCCTCCACGCATTGTGCCGGCCGCGGGAGGTCCGCGCACGTCGCCCCAGCCACGCGCGCCCGGGATCAATGGGTAAAAGACCCGACAAGGGCGCCGTACATGCACCTCAATCAAGTCGGCATCCTTCTTACCGCTCACTACTAGCCGGAGCATCGATACGCTCTTCGAAGCTTGCTTCGCGATGCCCCAGGCAGGTGATATGAGTCCGTCGACTCGTCTCCTAAAGGCGTTATGCCCAGGCAGACGGTGGCGAAATGAAGCGCACAGCACAACAAGGAATGCGAGGATCTGCTCTTATAGACGCAGGAGGACGACGAGGAAGGCTTTGCTCGGCAGGCCGAGAAGCAGCTCAACCTCTACAAGGCCATGCTCATGGATCAATTGGCTTTTGTGAAGTGCGGGGCAAACGGCTCGACAAAACACGAGCTCTTCAGCTGGTCCCAGCAAAAGGCTACCACCCTTCAGCCGCCCATCAACAACGGCCGCAACCTGTACAACTCTGGTGCCCGCCGCTGCCGCACGAAGCCGGACCAGGAGAAATTTGCGGTGCGCATGGCGCTCGCCTGTCACAAGCGCATCGCACCAGCCTTCTTCCGCTGCGTGACCGGTGTGCCCAAGCAGAAAGGCTATGCGAGGGCCAATCTGTTCGAGAGCGCCTGGTCCCATGATGCCAAACATCAATGGGGCAATGTGTTGTCGGTTTCGGCCACATCGAGGGCGTCATTGCGTGGCAGCTGCAGCAGCAAGCCACATTAATGATCGGCGAGATACCTTCCCCGGTCTCGTGGACAAAATCTACTTTGTCGATGCCCTCAACCCTGTCTCTGGCTCGCGAGACCTCGGTCTCTACGGCAGCGTCGGCGGATCCCATAGCGTCATGCCACATACTGCCTTGTGCGACTGAAGATGCGATGGACAAGTTCGGGGAGAGGGTGAAGAAGAGCATCTTGCGTGGCCAGGTCGGGGACAATGCCCTCTTTATCGGGTGGAACCAGGAATGGCCTCATCTCGAGGCGAGGCTGAATTTCGGCATCGGAGACGGACCAATGCGTCTGCAGTCACGCTATTGAAGGATGGCGGCGAGCGCTATGCTTCACAGCCGAAGGCGGCACACCCGAAGATGTCGTACCTCCTGCATCACTCTGGCTTTGTCCTGGTCCGCGGCCACTCATCGAGCTGGACATCGAGGCGGGACAATCCTCGCGCGGCTATACAACGCGGCTGCACAGCAGATCACCACCCGCATACCCACGCCATCCTACCTGCGCCCGTATAAGTTGGCGCATGGCTGCCGCATACCTCCTTAAACGCAACAATCATAGCCTTGTCCCTATCGTTTCCCAAATCGTCCGCTTTCATCGCTCAAGTCTGGACGCAATGCGCCACGTGCAGCGTAGTCGACGGCACTGACTGGACACAACGTCACCCTTACCCACAACGAGTTCGTCTGAGTCTCTTAGAAATTCACTGGTGAAATGCCCTGGTTTTCTGGGCGCTCGCCCTCCAGAGCGCCTGCAGCATCGCAAGCTACATCGTGCAAAGATATCGGCTTGGCATTGGCCGTACAGGTGGTCCTCGGCGTGACCACTTACCGTAAATGCAAGTTGGACATTTTGAGGGGGCGGTCCTGTCGTGACTCTCTGTGAGTAGATTGTTCGTGGAGAAAAAACTAAGTGATTGATGCTAGAGGGCTGGACATAAGGGGCTCTGGTCCGGGACGTTGCAAGGAGGCAAGGGAAGCAAGGAAATTGACTTTGCGAAGGTCAGAGCGTGCAGGGATCGGTTGATGCTTGAGCAGAAGCGGAGCGCCCGCCATGACAACCTCGGGACCCCCGGAATACCTGCTTGCTGATGCCGACGGGCGGGCGCGCTGCCCTGACGAGGCTGACTCTGGTAGAGAAAGGGAGCGAGGCAAGATGAGCACCGGCTCAAAGGTGGTATCTGACCCTGTTTGTCCTGCTTTTGGTTCTCCCTCGGTCTTCGCCTGGCTCGTATTGACTACTGAATCCCTTTGCCCTCAAGGCAAACCATCGAGTACGCCACCTATTGCGTGAGCGACTCGATGCGCGGTGCCCACTTTAGGTCCGCTTCAACTCGACTTCAAGGTACGGGAGGCGGCGCGGCGCGCATGAGGCCATGCGGCAACGCAGTGCGGGCGGGAAGGAATGGGCAGATGGAAAGCAATCCAAGTCAAGCCTTACTCGACTTGAGGTCCACGGGCAAGCGAGCAACTTTGCTTCCTGATCACCACCATCAGCACCGCCCAACGTTGCTTCCACACACTAGGAGTCGCACCTTCGCACGAAAGCTTCCTCTCGCGGTAGAGAGGCCCCCCTTTGGGCTCTTTCGCGTCGACACAACAACAAGAGCAGTGGAAACCTTCTCACCATTCTCTCTCTTTCCCTGCAATCTCAGCTTAGTGCTGAGCAGCTGAGTAGCAAAGTCCAGCCAGGCTGGTCACGGTATCCTTGGTCGAGTTCGTGCTGCTGGAAAGCGCTCGGGGAGATACGACTGGGCGGACCTTGATTATCCATTCGTCGTCGCTTTGCTCAGCGTAAACGCTATACTCTGCATCACGCCTTCTCGCAACAGAAGAAGCGATGCGACCGCGACCGAGCATCTGGCCTCTCCATTCTTTCCTGTCAACAGCAGCAGCTCGCAATAGGTGCCATTGATAGTAGCAAGCTGGGCCCAGTAAGTTCTCTTCCCACCACGAGCATGCCTCACCGGCTCCCTCTGTCGATCTCGCCACCATTCTTCCCTCACCGCGATCATGGGCGTCAAACCCGAAAGGCACTCTTCCCAATCACGTCAGCAAAGGAAGAAGTCCAAAACACTCGACAAAGCAACCATCTGCTGCCTGCCATTTGGGAAGTTGAGCCTGGAGTCAATGGCACAAGCTCGAGATGCCAAGCCACCAGCAACAGGGCTTCTCGCTGATTAACAGCTGTAAGTGGCTCGTGGGCCCAACGCCACTGTCATCGTCGAGCACGTGGGGCTCGGCTAGGCAAGAAGGCGCCGCCTCTATTACTGCCACCGCCGCAGTGGCCACTTCGGTCGCAGCCACCAGCGCTTCAACTGCCCAGTGCTTGGCCGTCATGGGCGTCCCTGCACCTTAAGGCGGAGAATTCAGCGGATGACGGCTTCCACGGGTCAAAGGGCTCAGTGCGCTGCAAGCATGGGCTAGGGCAAGATGAGAGAGCTGGGAGGCGACGTCTCGATGCCGGAGGACTGGAGGAGGAGGGGAGGGGGGGGGGGGGGGAGGGGGGGGGGGCTGTGGGGCTGAAGGAGGGGACTCGGGTGGGTAAGATGTCGACGCTCCGCAGCAGCAGGGCCCGGAGATAGAGGTTGCTGCTGGAGGCGAAAAGCCACAATATCAGCACTTGGCGAGGAGCCCGCGTGCGACCTCGATGATGTGTCAGCTCCCGAGGCAGGCTCTTTCCCGCTCGCACCAGGGACCGTCGACCCGCCCGGAGCTCCAGCCCGGCCCGCCAAGTCCATCGTCTCGATGCCTCGGGAGGAGTGGCTCACGTCGATGCCAGACGTCACGGACGAGTTCCTGGCTATCCGCCAGGCGCACACGAGGACAAAGGCAAAGATCCTGCGCGACGCCATGGTCGCGGCTAGGATGAACAATGTTCTGCAGGTCTCGACCTCCAAATTCAAATCAGCGTCTGTGGCGCTCAAACACGAGCAAGAATCTCTCTCCCTCCCTCTGAGGCGCACGCAGTCTCTCGGCCGGCCGGCAAATGGTGCTCCGCGACCTCGAGGCGGCTGTGCACATTGTCAATATTCGCATCAGCACCAAGTCGTCAAATCGCGCTTCTGGTCAAGTCGACCTTGACGCTTCAGTCGGGCGCTTATCCCGCTCCAATACGCTCTCCTGTTTCTTCTCTGCCGTCCATCCTTTGCCCTCTTTTATGTCAGGTCAGCCACAGACGCTCACGAGCTCATGTAGAAATATCCGGTGCTGGACGCAAGGGGGTACAATTCCGCAGGCTCTGACCTCCGCGCTGTCCTCTACCAGCCTCTCTGCATGGGCCGGGGCATCCGCCGCCTCATCTTCTACGGTGGCATGGCGATTGGCCAGACGGTGACGGAGAGGTCTGCGCAGCACGATGCACGCTACGAGGATGTTGTCGTCACCGAGGAGGGATATCAGGGCAAGCTCGTCCGCGAGTCGGAGGCGCAGCCGCCTCTGTGCACAGCCAGAGGAGAAGGACAGTGGTGCTTCTTACTCACGCGTGGCCCCAAGACCTGAGTGAGAAAGAGTTCGCGGGTGTGGCTGGTGGCGCAGGGCGAGGCACTGGTGCCACCGATTGCTAGGGCCCCCACGCCGCTGGACTTGAGGAGCCGTCTGTATCACACCGAGCAGGTCAGGTGAAGGTACGTTATTCGAATTGTGCTCGCCCACTGGGAGCGCATTCCTGTGGCTTTCTTGCGGCCCGCGGCGGGGAGCTTCCCACACGAGGATCTCTTCAAGGTCGCTTGGATCGGCGGCGGGTACGAAGGAGGCAATCACGCACCCTCCGTCGACCCGCTGGGCTGCCTCGAGGGCTCCCACGTCTGGCGCCTCAGGAACAAGCTACCAGCACCGTGGGCGAGAGTGAGGTGGGGCAGCAGTAAGGGGCCGCGCTCAAGAACTTGTAAAAATCTCAATTGGCTCCTAGATGTTGTCCATCTCGAAAATGCGGCAGAATCTGCACCCGAGAGACTGGCGCCTCACTATCCTCAACGACCCTTGGCCCAAGAATCGAGGCACACGCTCTCTCCCCGAGCGATCAGCCGCCGTCTTCCCTCCTGCGCCGCTATATGGTGACGCTCTCGCGCAACAGTCGCTACAAGGAGAAGTTTTGGCCAGTTCGGTGGGACGCCCAGGTTGTCAATGATGACTGGGGCCCCGGCTACTTCTTCAAACCCTTTACCCTTTCTGGCGAGGACTTTCTGGCCCCGTCGCTGCCACGGCCTCCTGGCGGCAATGGATGGATAGACGCGATGCGCTGAACGAATGATGGCAGAGTGGTTGCCACCGTTCACTAACGAGATGGCGCGCGTGTTTGCAGTTTGACGGGATACTGTAGGATACTATAGAACAGATTAGACTGGCCGAGCACGTTGTCTCTCATCTGACCGCAGACCTTTCCTTCTTCCGTTTTTGCCCTTCCGCTCACGGGAGCATGACCAAGATGAATTGAGTTCAAGTATGCATGACGCTCCAGTGACTGAGACTGGGATCGAGGTTGAGGTCGGCTCGCCGTTCAAGAGGACGGAGAGCGACAGAACAGGCCGTAAAGACAAGATCAGCTGTGTCGTGTACCGTGATACTGAATTAAGTCATGTGGGCCCTACCCGCGATACAAGTACAAGATTGTGGACACTTTCTCCTCCCCTCCTTTCGCTGCATTCGGAATCAAAGAGCCTGCTCCTGTCTGTGCGAGCGAACGCGCCATCTCCTGCCCTCTAGTCGTGGCCCGATGACCAGACGATCCCCCTCGTGCGTGTCGTCGAACATCTCCGTAAGCGTGTCGGACATGAGGTCCTTCTCCCGCTCAGAGGGGCGACCGTACAGATCGAGCAGCACGCCGTACGGGCCGAGCAGTCTTTGGCGGATCACCGAGACGAGCGGGCTCGTGATGTCCCGCAGGGAGGCGGCGGCGAGGAGACCTACGAGGAGGGAGGTGAGGCTACGGTGCGGCGCAAGGAAGGGAGGTGGTCAGTTCACTGGCATAGCTTGGCGCGCGGACTGTGGATGCAGCGTTGTTCACTCACCCAAAGAGGCCTGCAAATAGACAGAACAAGGCCAAAACGGACAGCCTCACCGTGCTTCCCACGACGGGCCGGCCTAGCACCTCAACCAAGGGCGCAGAGTCGAACAGCACGGCCGCGCCAGCCACGGTCCTTTTTGCCAGCTCGAGGGCGGCCGCATCCGCAAAGCTCATACTACCCGGCCTCGTCCCGGCCCCTTGTACCGCGGTGGTGATCGCGGCTCCCGTGGGCACGAAGTTGGAGAGATATTGCGCGTGCAGCAGCGAGCTAGGCACCGACGACTGGACGGTGTAGGTTGAGGGGGGCGTGAACTTGTAGACGGTGTCCACCACCATGACCTGGCAGTCGACGACGTTCAGCCCGCCTTGGTGGCCCCAAGTGATGAATCCCGTGTCGCCGACCAGCTGGCCGCTGAGGTAGTCGCCGATGCCGGCATAGGCGAAGCTTTGGCCGACGAAGGCGTAGCGAAAGGGGCTGCGAGAATGGGAAGGAGCGCGGGCGGGGTCAGCACAGTCAACCGCAGCTTGCCTCGCGGCCAGCCGGCCGTCTGTGTGACTCACTTAGCTTGCGCAAGGCCCGCAAAATAGTCGGCGGGCCCGCTTAGCGACATCTGGCCGTTGGTGGCCGGATCGATCAGCCCGTCGACATACGTAGTCTCGCCCACATTGACGCTGGTAGTGTTGAGCGTCGGACAGGTGAACCGGAGACTCGCCTCCGACGTCCCCGTGGCGCCCACACAGGATCCGTCCGCCTTGCAAGTAATACACTGCTGCGTGAGGGACTTGCAGTTCGCCCTCACTCCCAGCGCCCTGGCCGTGTAGCTTATGTTGGGCCTCGTTGCGGGCACCATGATTGCGGAGCCCTGATTCGTCCAGGCGGCAGAGTTGCTAGTTGAGGCGTTGGCGAAGGTGCGAGCCGCTTCAGGTTGGTCGATGTACATGACATTGTTGCTGCCACTGAAGCGCGGAGGGAGGGCCATTCGCAGAGGAGCTGGTATGAGTGAACAGCTCGCGGGAGTCATGTAGGCGGTATTCTGCGCTCACTTGTTTAGCCCGCACGAATCCCGAATGTACGAGTCTCTGTCCGCATTCTCCGGATCCGCCTTCCACTCAGCGCACCTCGTGTCATTGAAAGGGCGGCTGTAGCTCATATCTTGGGTGAGCAGGGCCTCTTTCATCTTCTCAACAACTGAGCGCGGATGCGTAGTCCAATGCAGTGCCTGATCGAGCGCACTGATGCCATAGTGGAGTACGAGGAGCCAGGTACACAGCAGAATCGAGAGGCGCAACGTCTTTGGCATTCTTACGTGCGAGTGGCGAGAGGTGGAACCCCAGCCTAGCCAAAGGCGGAGTGCTTCCCAGAGGGTGCGTGGGTTGGGCCCGCCCAGAAGACTCATGGCCGCGCCGAGGCTGATGGCGAGGTGCGAGGGAGGAGCGATGTGAGGTTAGATGCAGCTTCGCGTGGTACCGCAGGGATGGGAAGGTGCGGCGACTCACTGCACAGGTGTTGGCCTGCCTCGTCCTTCGTACACATTACTTGCGCGATACCACTCTGCGGCAACGATTGTAGCCATCAAGCCCACGACGGGCACTAGTGCCAGATCGCTGACTTTACTGACAATGTTGGACAGGGACGTGATGACATTGAACGCCGCTCCGGTGTAGATGACGCCGCCGTCTACGTCAACAACGTAGCCGTGAATGACGAAGATGTAGACGAGCAGAGCTGCAAGTGGTCCCAGCATTGCGAGGGCGAGAAGCACAGCCCAGGCCAAGGCCGCCCAGCGAAGCCGGGAAGGGGATTTGGAGGAGGGGTAGACAAGGGGTGGGGGTGCTTGCGAGGGGGAGATATCGCTGTAGATGAGGATGTGCGCTTGTTGGAAGTGGCCGGAGGGGGAAGAAAGAGGCTTATCTTCGGACTTTTCGCTCATGTTGTTGGTGCAGGAGGATTTTCGCGGGGCAAGTGACGACTTCATAGCATTGTGTAGGCGCCTTTAGTACTGTCCTCTGGAGGAGCTGACCATTCTCGTATCAGTCCCGCTCAAGAACGTTCAGCTGGAGTGCAGAGTTACTGCCATGGCAGCTCGCTGCCGCCTGGCCACATTGTTGACCTCGTCGTGTATCACAGTATTGCAAGTCATCGTCGTTGTGGCGCAGATCTGCCTTAGAGATCTGATCACGTCCCGCCCGACGTGCGCCACTTTTTTTTCTCTAGTTTGTATTTGGGTCACTGCTCCTCTGACTTGTGGCAGCGAGAGAGTACCTGCTCTCTTCTTGACATTGAGCGTCGGTGTGCTCAGGTCTAGGGGCTGGGCACGCGACGTCGACCCGGAGATGCGATCTGACTTAGGGTCGAGAGGAAGACATGTCAGTCTGTTGTGCGTCCCTGATTTGAGTCGTTCGCGGAGGCGGGCGGAGCTGTCTGGATGCACAGCGGTGAGGCGAAGGTTCCGCTGCAAGAGCGGGACCAAATTAGCCGCCGGGCCTAGATCCAGACTGCAGGCGGCGTGCATCCGCGCGCCCCGCCCCAGTCGTCTTGCACCTTTGCTTCCACCTTTCACTTCCACTAGCCGGCGGGACAAGTTGGTGCGTCGCTTCACATTATTGTCGCCTGAGGCCCGTCCAGCCAATCTCGTCGGTCCGCAAGCCTCATTTTATTCACGGCGATCTTCTTCCCTCACGGAGACGGTCTTCTGCGATGACAGGTCTCCATCTGAATGGCGTCCGTCGTACCGCGTTGCTGTAGAGTACAAAAGACTGGCATCAATTCGTCATGACAGCATACATTTCAGACGCAACCACTCGTCTTCTCTCGCAGCAATGGACTTCAAGCACTCGGCCCATCGCTACTCTTACCAATCGGTAGCTTCACACCTACCCATTGGCGTCTTTCTCCAGCCACCGGCCCACAAATTCGCCAAGCTACGCCTCACCCTCGTACTGTCCAGCTCCCTCTTCGCCTTTGCTCTCTCCATCGTAGGCCTCTACTCGGCACGCATCCAGCCCATCAAGCTCTACCAAGACGGCACAAGCGCAAGCAGCGTCTATGACGTCTTCTTCGGTCTCCTCGCCTCGGTCATTGGAGGCCTCATCGCCATCGGCTTCGGCGCGGGCTTGGGCGCTGTCCTCACAAAACGCTTCTCTGCTCGCGGCGCCGAGGCAGGCCAGTGGCTCCTCGCCCCAGAAGCCCTGCGAGGTCGCCCTACGTGGCGAGCCGGGCCCTTGCTCCTCTGCGTCAGCATCATCGTCGCAATGGTATACGCGCTCAGCCATGCCGCCGCAACTACACTCCTCGCCCCGGTCCGCACCGTATTCAATGAGACGTGGGCTGGCCAATACAGCGTCGGCCGCCGCTTTGACGTTGCCCTCACGTCGCTTTCCAGCGTCGACGCCGTCGATCTCAGCGGCCACGACGCGGCCGAGGTGTTGCAGATGTACCCGATCTACCTTGCCCTGGGGCTCAACCCGGCCACGACTCGCATAGCGGACACCTTTGGCCCCCTCGCCTTCACGTCGCTCGACCAGAATCCCGCCCAGCCGTACGTCGAGCTCAACATGTCCCAGTACATGGTAGTGGACGCCCCCCTCATCCACGCCAGCTGCGTGCCAGACGCAAGTTGCGCCACCCTGTCCAGCAGGTGCAACTTGACCGTAGGATGGAGCGAGCAAGTCCTATACCGGCTGCCCGATACGACGCTCACGCTGGGCAAGCACGAGGGCATCCAGTCCGTATGGCAGCGCACGCTCAATCTCTCTAGCCTGCAGCAGGAGACGATGCAATTGTGCAGCAGCAGCGACAGGTTCAAGCAGTCGGCTACGCGTTTCCTCGAGGTTGCGGCGCTTGCGGCGTACAACAAGACGATCAATGGGGATCAGAGGGCATTTGCTACATCGTCGACTCAAGTGAATCGCAAACGTGCAACCTCAATACCAAACCCGCAGGCGAGCATCATCCGTCATCCCGAGGCGGATCCAGCGTGGCATAGTCCAAAGATCGGCGTCGAGCAAACGGGTCTCGCTCAAGTTCCTGCGACTCTCTTTGATCATGCCAGCTCCTCGACCCCTCTCGCACCTCCAACTTCCGAGCCAAGTGTCGACGCACCCGCTCGGACGCCTGAGGACTCGCCAAGTCAAACGGGCACAGCTTATCCGGAGCAGGAGGTCCACACGCCGCAACAGCAGCAGGCCACGCCGAGTGAAACACCAATTGGGGCTCCTGCAACCCTGCCCTACTTCACCAACACCAACGAGAGAAACAATGTAGCAGCCACAACGAGCCCGGCCGCAACACAAGTCGTGCAGCAGGCGCAGAGCCAGACTACGCCAGCCCCTGTGGTCCCGGCTCCGGTCCAGGCTTCAAGCTCGATCTCCGCAGCGCAAGACCTCAGCAGCCAGGTGGGCGGCTTTGGCGTCATCCAGACCACCGCCGCCGCCGGAACCGGCACAGACGCATCCGGCCGCATCATCAAGGTGATCAGCCCCTCAGCCACCAGTACAGCCACGGACGCGACGGGTAGCACGGCGCCATCTTCCGCTTCCTCGTCCTCGCGGGGCTCCTCCGACCTTTCCGTAGTCCTCTCCGCCCTCCCCGGCACACTCATCCACTCGGTGGACTACTGGTGTCTCTTCACCCTCCCCAGCCAAGAGTGGTACTGCGCCATGCTCCTCGCCATCGCCTCGGCCTGCCTAGTGATGGCCGCCGCCTGCCTTCGTGCGCCCGGGGGGATCGACGCGAGCTCGGGCGGGTCCGTTGGGCTAGCTGTTGCGCAGAGTGAGGCGGCAAGGATTGGGTTGGCCGAGGTGAAGAGCGAGAAAGAGCTGAGCAGGCGTGTCGATGCATACTCGAGGGGCATGGAGGAGGGGAGGTTGGGCTGGTTCAGGACGCCGGGAGGAAGGGCGAAGCTATACCCTGTCACGTCGTGAGCGAGAGTACCGCTCGTACAGATACCTCATCAATGTCACCGCTACTGTCATCGTCATCTCCGGTAGAGCAATACATCACATGTAGAACAGGGCCTCGTCTCGCCTCACAAGGGTCAGAGGAGAGAGGTCAATGCATCGGGGCTTTGATTGGAAGAAGCTGGTGCGTCGAGCAGATAAAGAAGATGCAACAATGGGCTACAAGAATGGGTCCCCTCACCATGTCCGCGAGTGGAAGCGGGAGATGCTTCTTGCTACCGCTGCTATCCTCTTCGAAGCAATCGACCCAATAGGAGACGCTGTCGTAGGCCGGCGTATCGTACCAGCTGCACCTCGACGCCAGTAGTGAATCGGTTGCTGCAGGAGCAGACGTAGAGTGTGGCGTCAGAAGCCCCGTATCCGCTATCTGGAAAGATGCCATTGCTGTCTTGGACTCGCGTCGCACCATCGCAAATTATCGGTCCGATCGTGTACCCCTCCATGTCGGCTTTGGTCAAAGGGGCACACGAGGTTCGAGCATTTGGACATCGCTATTGGGCAGGGTCCCCAGTGAGGAATCAGGTCGTGCGGGCTTGCGGTGAAGCTGTGTGTAAGACAGCAAGGTCAGATGGGGAGAAGCCTCCGGATAGCAGCAAAATTACTCACGCCTGAACTTTGCAGGCAGCGGTATCAGAGTACGCAGAAGGAGCATCGCTTTGCCCTCCTGCTACGTTTGAGGAGCTCGAAGGCATCACCAGGGCTGACGAGGACGTTGCTGGCGCGCGCGAGTCCTCGTACGCCTCAGTGAGCGACACCAGCAGGGCGAGCATGGCAACCCGACTGGCTTGATAATATGCGCTCCCACATGACAAACGGTGTGCGGACAAGGCGAACTTTGCTTGCGATGGTATCCATTCAAATGACAGGGACGAGACATGCCAGCGAGTCAGAGGGACGGTGCAAGATCAAGCACGATACGCTGCAAGAAAGCTCGTCAAGAAGAGGGTTCAGGTCATGCCTCGCAATTCGACCTGTCTCCTCTCGTTGGCAGCTCCGTTCGATCTTGACGGGGAGGCGGTAGCGGTAGATGTACGGCTGCTTGCGCTGCTGCTGCTGCTGCTGCTGCTGCTGCGGATGGCCGTCGTAGCATCAACGGCAAGGCCACAGGGGTTCTTGTCGTTCGGCGGTGCTGTACACGAGCACTAGATGGACAGCTCCTGCCCATAGGGTACCTGGTCGAAAGAGCCGTCCGATGTAAATGGTCGTCCCGTGCAGATCTTGTACGCGAAGACTCCGCTCTTGCCCACGGGACCGTCGAAAGGTGTCCCGGCCTTGTCTTGCGCCATCAATGCGGGGATCACGCAATTTTCATCATCGTGTGGATCTCGGGTCCCAGTGAGGGCGCCGCGTAAACGGCTCGAGGCGGCGTTGCATTTCGTCTCGGTTGGAGGGAATGAGTAGGTTCAGTCGCAGTCGGAGGGGCAAAAGGGGCGAAGGGCCAGTTGCCTCCCATTTGCAGCTGCGGCGGCGTTGATCGACTGACGGCGGTGGGAGCAGGCGTAAACCTCAAGGCTCACAATCCCCAGATCGTCCGCGGGCTGAGGTTCTCGGCGTAGTAGGGGCTATTATTGTCTTTGGACAGTCGAGTACCGCCGCCGCAGATATACGTTCCCTGGTGGAGCAAGCGTTCCCGGCACCGGCCCATGTACACCATCTTCCTGAGGATCCGGATTGAGGGCAGACATAAGGCACGAGCCAAGGATCCAGGAAGGCGTAGAGGACAATGAATCTGAGCGATGCTGTCGTGGGTCAGACAACGCTTCTCTTCCTGCGCAATGCCAATCACTCACGTCTGTACGTGCAAACCCAGAGCTGAGGTCCAAGACAACAGGATGAGGACGATTCGGTAGGTTGTAAGAGTGAAACAAGCGCGGAGGTTGAGGGAAATTGATGAAGACGCAGGAAACGAAAGTATCGACACTAGAATCATTCTGAACTCCTGCCAGAGCTCGCGGCCATTGGTCCAGGCTTTCCAATTATAAGAGGCTGGTCCCCACAAAAGTGTCCCCGCACCTGCAGCGGGCGAGAAGCAGCATCGAGCCGCCCCTCTCGAATGCTGATCCGAACCGCCCCGTAGGGTCGGAGTTGACCGGACGGGCAACGCGGGACCGGTAAAGAGCAAGTCGCAGAGGCACATCCTCTGTGAAGACGTCCGCATGCTTGATTAGGAACTGATGGCCTTCGCCAGCGCGCATTGTAACATAGTTCGAGTGGACAAAACGTACCAGTGTGTAGGGCGCGGCGCCGCAGCGTAACCCTAAATCAAGGGCGCCTGCCTTGGCAGACAGGTGAAAGCCGGTCGGCACCGCGTCAACACGCCGATCAGAGATCAGTTGTACCAGCCTGTTGCCCAATCAATAGGCTTCGTAATGCAGGCTCTTTTGCTCCCTTCCTGGTCCGATGATTCCTCATCAGATATGATGCTCGATATTTGCCCTCTATGCACGGCCCTTACAGATGTGGTACCATGAGGCTTGAAGTCCGGATTGTCTTCCATTTCAAGCTGGGGCTGTCGGCCTCGCACCAACAGCGCGGCTCCGCACTATCCATCACTGAGCGAGAACTCCAAGGCCAGGTCTAGTGCTGGTGGCGCAATCCTTGAAGAGCCGAACAGCGGCATGGAGATAGCGAGAAAGTGGAGGGGGAATCCAACTCCGGCTCTCGCCAAAAGCCGTAGGAATCAAAAGGCCGGGCCGAAAGGCCCGGGCAGTGCGAGATTTGGTGATGCGGGGCAACGAACGCCTCTGGAAGCACTGAGCTTGATTTCGCGCGCACGTGCCAAAGCGGGTCCCGATGCAAGGATGATAAGGCCATCCGATCTCGCCGATTCGAACCTTCATAACCGAAAGTCGTGGCGCGTAATCGTAGCGATGGCAAATCGGGCCTGGGCCTCAGCGCTCAGGTTCATGTAGGACTTGGGTATTCCGGCGCCAGAAGGACGACTCGCCCTCGACGGTCTGGATTGTGGGCCCCCACAACCAATCGCCAACATTGTCAGATCCTCGAGCTCCGAAGAATCCAGGCTCTGATACATTCACCGTTTGGGTGTGAAAGCGAATCGGATGATTATCACAGTGTTACGCTGTCCGCCTTGCTCGAGGCACTTTTATAGGTATATGGAGGGATTTGGAGCCGGTACTGACTCTTCCAACTGCCAATCCTCTGATTGCTCATTGTACACTTGCGAATACGTCGCTTCCATGGCGGCATTCCACTCGCTCAGCTACTGGCAGGTCAAAGAGAATGTCCACATCGAGATGGATCATCACTTGGCCGAATACGCCAAAATGACGGAGGAAGGGCCACCGCCAGCTGCAAGCCATCAATGGAGCCTTTCGCAAGTTGCACAAGAAGTTGCAATTCCCTGCATGTGTGCCTTGAGTCCGAACGCCATGTGGCTCACCACCTCTCTGGCTGGTCAAGCGCTTCCCGGCAACACGGTGATTACTGTTCTCCAACAGCTTTGTGTTGGAGTCGCCAGCTTTGGTCTCACGTCTCTTGGATGAAAGGTAGCTCAAGGCGCTCGGTGGCCGTCCGCACGAACATCAAGAGGGACAACGCTCGCTGCTTTAATGGATCATGGGCGCTATCAGAGCTTGTGGAAAGCCTGGCGTCAGACGCGCGATCGTACTGAGCGGGGTGTGTACCTCCTGCTCGGCTTTCTGGCCATCTCACGGCTTCTTCTGAACGCAGGAGGTCGTCCGGAAGTACAAGTCGCCGGTCGGTCGACAATCTTGGACGCTGTTGCCTACACTCCCTACAATGACCTCTCGGAAGTCGTGAATGCATATCCGGGCACAATCAATCTCATCCAGCCAACGAATTTGGGCTTTTTCGCGAAAACCTACGGCGAAGCCAATGCAGCAGTACTTCCCCTCGGCAGTCACATGGCTAGTGAAACAAGCACCGTCCAAGGCGTCTTTCCCGGCGTGATCATAAGCGATATGAGCATGCCCTCCGGTTCCTCCATCGCTGAATTCCAAAGTGAATCTTGGGACAAGGTCATTAAAAGCAGTCACGACTCCCTCGAGGTTTCTTTGGCATGGTCGAATCGACTTCGGACCGTCAACGGTGAACCGAAGGAGCGCGCTGCGGTAGTATCCAAAGTGGGCATGTGCGGTATGGTCAACGACACAGTGTACGAATACGCCTGTGCGATGCTCGGATTCACTGCTGTCCAGCTGAGCATCACGTCCGCGGAGGGCTACATTCTGTCCAGCACCATTCTCGGCTTTTCAGAGCAGCCGCGATTCCAGGTGGGAGGCTTAGACCCAACGACTTTCTTGCCACAGCTCTTCATGACCTTCAACCCGAGCAATGCAGACGTGGCACAAGCTTGCAAGTCCGGCGGTGTGGCCCTCCTAACGAACACTATGCTGCACGAACTCAGAGGCGAGTACACCTACATCAAGCAACCCGGTGTTGTCGGTCGGTACAGTCCAGGGACCATCACCTTCTCCGTTCTTGGCGTGTCTTTGTTCGTCGGCGTCAACGTGATGGCATTTTTGCTCCTCTCTGCCATACTTGTCCTCGTCACACAGCGGCAAGAAGTTCGACAGTCGCCCTCGCTACTCACCATTGCGCGATGGTCTGAAGAGCTCAGTGAGCTTGTGCTTGCAGCTCTTCAAGAGAAGGGCGGAGAAATCTGGCAGGCGGAAAGTGTTGGCAAGGAGCCAATCTATGCCCACGAGGGCTGTGATCGCACTACTCTTCGGCGCAGCGCGCCAATCTAAAGGAGGCATGCAATAAGGGAATGCCGGAAGCAGGGTCTTGTCCATTTCGCCGACCTGCAGACTCGGGAACATCTCGCTGACAGAAGCCTTTTGGCGTCCTAGAGTGCTACAATGGGATCGCTGCCCAGAACGTGCAACCTCAGGAGCGGATGCCGGAGTCGCGGGTGGGATAAGCCTCTCATTTCCAGACGCCAAGTCAGCGCTGGGATCGAGAAGGACGTTTGGGGCTTTGTTTTCGCTGGACCTTTTGTTGGCTTGCCTCTCGCGATCTAAAAGGATAGAAAGAAAGCTGTTCGACTTGCGCTCAGCCCGTACCACCGCCCAGAATGTCGACGGCAGTTGCGACCTGACCATGATCGGTATGCCCCCGATCGTGGCGCGATGTGCGCTGCGACTCCAAGGACGTGGGTAAGCAAGACTCGCGCTGTCGAGAGCTGCCAGTCATTGAGCCACTCCATGCTCCCCGAGGTGTCTTGCCCAGTAGAGCCGACATGTCAACCGCAAAGTGACGTCGAACTCGCAGGACGACGAGCTTCAAGAAGGGTCGCTGTCGCGCGAACGCGTCAGCCAGGACATGTGACACCTGGCAGACGCCAATGAACACGCTAGTAGGCCCGCGGTAGTCTGCTCTCAGACGTGAGAGTTCTGCTTCGACGCTCGTGGCTCTAAAGCCGCTTTGAGGGCTGTCCATTTGCGGTAGCGCCTGGAGCGCGAAAGGTGCGATCGTTTGTCAAGCAATCAGTACTAATGAGTTTCTGAGAAGGTGGTGGACCATCGAAGTGACGTACGAAGTAAGCATCAAGATCGAGCGAAGGCGTCTGCGCAGCGACAGCCAAGATGCAAGCAAGCAGGGGACCATGTTTCGGGTTCAAAAGCTTGTCAAAATTGCCATGGTGCCAAGCAGCGCTGAAACCGATCCTCGAGCAAATGTCGTACATCCAATCCAGCTCCCGAAACCATCTCTCGAGGAGGGCACAGACGTTCCTCCGTTCCTTGAGGTACTCCTGCACCGCCTGCTCCCATGTTGCAGTCGAGACAGGGCGAGGCTGATGACTAGCTCCGTAACGCTCACGCAGCGAGCTTGGTCGAGCTTTTCGTCGTCTTCATATTGACAACCCTGCCGAGTACGCTTGCAATGGCCACGTTGCGATTGCACTGCGTGGATGGAGAGGTTCAGTCAGTCTCATTGAGGGTTAAGAGAAGACTTCCCGAGTGCTTTCCAACCTTTCTCGCGAGGGCACGGCAGCCATTGCAGCTGACAGATGCCTGGAATGCTGTCGCTGTCTGCAAAGCGAGACCCGTTGAGGTGGTGTCGGACAGCGCAAATCGGCGCAAATGTGCGAAAAGCGATCGTTGGTGGGCACATCATCCACCAGGCCAAGCCCTCTGGCAAGTGGTTGCGATTCTGAATGTCATGCGGCGCTCCGCGCATTGCTTGGGCAGGCCATTTTGCACTTTCAGACCCATGGTACTGGAAGTGAGTCAAACCTGAGTACAGCAACAGATCTGCAGGACCGTGCACAGGCTTCCGAGAGGGTCAGGGGAGACGGGGGGCTTGCGACACGACGCTGCCGTCTGCTGCCACGCGAATAGCTCATCGGTACTCCGCTCGCTTGTCCGACTCGCGATTTACCTGCCTCTTTCGGCAAGCCAGTCCGCAACATCGCGGTGCCCGCACTGCGCGGGAGCCCGATCACCGCCCCTCAGATACATCCTGCACGCGAAGGAGTCTCCGCACCGCCTCTCGATCACGTCTCACCACAAGTCTTCCGACGCGGTATTGGTGTCCGTTGTAGCCCCACCGCTACGAAATCTTCTAGTCTTTCCTACACTTGGTCGCCCTTTGCCAGGCACTCTATTGGCTTGACCGCCTGTGCAGGTAGCGCCTTCTCGCCTGTCGTTTCGTCGCCCCGTTGACCTGCATAAGGGTCCGCAAAAGCGCAGGCCCGTTGCCGAGAATCCGCGTGCGTTACGCCCTAAGCTCGGCGGTTGCAAGGTTCGGCAAAGATCAGGCGTCCAACGGGCGAGGTGCCTTGCGGCATCTTGGCCTGAGTCCGCCGCATCCTAGCATCGTCGACGCCCCGTGTGGCCGGCTTGATACCAAAGGCAGCCAGAGCCTTGAGTTGCGTAAGAGATCCTACAAGAAGAGCAGTCCGAAGTCAGCACCCCGTCGATGTAGCGAAAATTCCTCGAAAAAACCTTTCGTTGACACTCATACCTCTGCCCCCAGCAATGGGCATTGTAGTTGACGGCAACGGGCCGCGAGAGGAGCTAGCCCTCTACAAGGCACGGCATGCATACCTCCCTGCCACCTCGCCCTCTTACGGAAGTGCGTAGGGAACAGCAAGATCGCGATGTTCAGAGCGATGGCTGACTATGGAGCTTTTCCGCGCGCTGTGCTCGCCTCAGTCGATTCTCCAATGGGTCTCATCAGCTCGTTTGCATTCGCACCAATGTATCTGTACGCCTCGATGAAGGGCAAATTTGACTTCTGGCGCAATCTGCTTGAGAAGACACTTCTTCGCCCTGCAGCAACAACGAGCCAGGATGATCCAGCAGTCGACCTCTCCATTCCTACCCTTGACGCGGGCTGCGGACGCGGACTTGTTCTGGTACAGACGGCCAAGATACGGGCCCAGTTGGCCGGCACTATGATCACGGAGACTCGACTGGCCAAGTCAGTCGGCATCGACCTCTTCATCCCGTCAGATCAGACCGGCAACTCCGTGGACGCGACGTGCTCGAATTTGGTCGCTGAGGGTGTCGCAGAGGTTACCGAGCTATACAAGGCGTCCTTCCTTGCGCTGCCTTTCGAAGACAGCACGTTCGGTTTGGTGACCAGCAGTCTTGCTTGTGAGCATAAGGAGCCGCAGTCTTTACATTCCCATCTCACCTTCGGTCTTTCTTCCTCTCAGTGCACAATCCCAAGCGTAAAGAAGATCGCTTGAAGGCCGTTGCTGAGCTCGGTCGCGTGCTCAAGCCTGGAGGCACTCTCCTTGTTCTCGATCTGGGTGGATACGTGCGATACTTCCGCAACCACGTCAGGGACGACATGGGATGGAGGGACGTCGACATGACTTGGGCTGGAATCGGCACAAGTTTCGGGGCTTGGCCGACATACGTTCTGAAAGCCAAGAAACCGGTGTAGGCCAGTCATTGCGTGAGAAGCAGTGTTCATCTGGCGCACCTCATGAAGATGCAGTGAGTACTCCAACGTCGGACAGCGACCGAATTGAGCATCTTGCCAAACGTCATGCGGCAAACTTCATTCGAGCGCCGATTGCCCTTCGTTGGACGAGAATGTACTGCAGATTGCTTTGCCGAGCCGACCTCGCCGGAATCCATCAGCGAGCAGCACTCTGAGAATTTACTCGATACGCGTGTATCCCCGAAGCATAGACGCTGGAGCTCAAGACTTATATGAGCAGGAGCTAAGACTATTCTCCGCCTGCAGGCTGACTTCAGGATTGTTACTGTCGACAGAGACCCACTATCAATATCACACTGTGCTTCTATCGGCACTGTTAGATTTCACGTCGGCACGTTGAGCACGAAGGAGTGACGAGCTGAAGCTCGGGAGAGCTTCCAAAGGGCGAAAACAAATGCCGCAGTGCGGTCCCTTCATCAGCAAGCTGGAAGGCAGCAGATCGCCATCTCATGACCCAGTGTCCTACATAAGGGTCTTCAATCGGCCTCGAAGAAAGATGCAAAATCTGCTCATGCCCGTGTCATCAAAATCGGGCGGTGGAGACGCAAGGATGACAGCAGCAAGGGGCGGTATAGCAGAATTGCTTGACCTCACGCGGACTGCTGCAAATCGACAGCCTTGTCGCAGTCCCTCCCAAGATCGCCGTTCGGAAACAGGCCCAAGTCTCCCTCTTTCGGGGCAGGGAAGTGTGGAGCGTAGGGAGGCCCCGATCGGAGGGGCTTCACAGTATCTGAAGATACTGCTGAAAGAACTTCAGACATATTTCACGACCGGGCCACCATACAAGACAGGAGTGGCCTTGCGGCAGCTGGAATACCGAGTAAAGGAGCACTGCAGGCAGCGCGTCGCTTTCCCGCCGGACAGCCTTGCATGTGACCTGATTTGCCCCGATCATCCGTCAAAGCAAGTTCTTACATTCAGATGAGCGTCCTCGTCGGCACACTGACTTCTAGAAGTCACCGTGTCCCTCGCCCAACACGGCACTGCCATACGGAGCGCTACGACAACGGCTATGGAGGTGGGATCATGACCGGGTCGGCATCCCCTCCGATGTTGACTCCTCCGCGGAAAGCGCCTCCCCAGCCGCCGTTGAAATTAAGCTCGGCGGGAGAGGGCAAAGGAGCGCCGAGGACCAAGTAAGTTGCGCAGGCAAGCACGACAAGGCAGAAGATGTTGATACCAGACATGGTGGTCTGTTGTCCTCGTATGGCCGCAAGCAAGGGATCATGCTTTATGTATTGAAGTTCTCATCAGCTGTCATGGCAATGAAGCTGATCCGCATGCCCTGACGCCCCAATATCTTCGCGCGCGGCAGGGAGCGGGACGCCAAGCGGAGGTCCACTGCGTTGACGCCCCGAAATGCTATGACTCTGCCCTTCTTTTTGGCGCATGTCACTCTGCCAGCTCTGTCGCGCTGACAAGCTCGTGTTCGCCTCAGTCGCCATTGCAATGCCATCCATAGTCACTGAGGCTTCATCGCTAAGCAAGTCGGAGGTCACCGTCAGGAAGCGGGATACACAACTTGCGCTAAGACGTGCGGCAGCCGCGCAAGTAGTGTGGGCGTTGAAAATTTGCGGGACCGTGGATCGAAGGGCGGGCCACATGCGATACTGTAGAAGTCGATGACAGCCGCTGCAGATGCAACGAAATCCGTGCCCGATGTGGCTGCCAAGTGTGGCATTTTCGAAGTGCTCCTGTGACATGCGTGCAGTCCATTCTTCGTTCTTGGGACACTTTCAGAAGCTGATGCTCTAGCGTTTGGTCTCGACACGCACGCATCATCGAGACCGCCCAGCTCTTCATCGACGGGGAGAGCTGGCCTGGCAGCGACGGCGATTTATCAAGGAGCCCACAACGATGTACTCTTCGTGCTCGGAGGGAGCTCCCTGGACACTGCCATTTGTGACCCTTGCACGGGAGCAATGCCCGCGCCCGCGAAGAACACGTCCACTTCGGATCGTTCGGTAGCCCTACTTTGTTGAGGGCTTGGTCGCTTTCGGATTTCAGGGGGCGGGAGGCTCTATGCCCAGATGCTGTGCAACATATGATGTGTTGGCAGCATCACTTTCGGCGACCGGTTCTTGGTGCCAAAAGATGCTGGGCCTGACGAAGTCACGGGTCGGACGATACGCGAAAGGCAAATGCCCCGTCGAGAGAGGATACGAAGGTTGCTGATGCTCAGTGAGCGTCCGACACGAGCGAACATGTCATCCCAGATTTGCGTCGTCGTCCCTAGAAGGCCGATTGCTTGTTGGACGCGCTGTCGACGTACGTCAAAGAGGAAAAGGCGGAAGATTTGAAGAAGTGCCAATGACGTGATGTCAAGGCAACTGGAGCGTGAGCGCTTACTTCTCTCTCGAAGCGACCGTTTGGATTTGCTGGCGCGGAAGATCATTTGCCCGCTGTGAGCCGTGCGATGCAGGCGGGAAACATAGCCCGGCGAGTCGATACCTGGGCCGCGCACGCGAGATCGCTCCCGTCGAGCTGAGCGGGGCCAGAAATCGACGCCCAGAGACTCGACGTCGAAATGGACGGACGGCGTGATTTCGCTAGCGTGGCCCTCGACCGATGGAGGCGGGCGGGGGGCACAGCCACTGGCTCCGGTGCGTGGTTGATGCGAACGTATCTGCCCCGCATCGGCTGCCCGGACACTCTCGCCGACGAGTTTCACGGGACCGACTTGCGCTGGAGCAGCTGGCGGCAAGATGTGGAAGGCGGGTCTCGCGAGATTGGTAGAGCAGTGTAGCGGCGCGGCGCGAGCGCGTCGAGGAGCAGAGGAGCGAGGGGAGCGCAGGCCAGAACGGGGGCTAAAGTAGCATCGCCGGCGACACACGCCGCGCTCCGTTATCATTTCGATTGTCATAGTCGCACAAGTACAACAGAAGCTACGCTCCGCTAGTCCAGCAGCGTGCGCTCTGATCGTGAGACAAATTGACCAGCGTGCGCTCCGTGTCTACTCGCCGCGGTGCCTGAGAAGGACGCAGCGAAAGATCAGCCAACGTCTATCGCTCTGTCCTCAACCCGTCTCACCTGCTGCGTCCCGCGCTGCTCAGCCCTCTTGGCGTCGCGTTGCTCCTTTTCCTTCGCCCAGCGCTCCTCGTTCATCTTTTTGAGCTCGCGCTTCGTAAGTTGGAGGCGGCCAAGGCCTAGCAGGTCGAGTCCGAGCATTGCGTGGCGTGTCGTGTCGTATGTGCGGGGTGTAATGGAGTGTATGGTAGAGAGGCAGGATGCACCAAATCCCCCTCGCTGGTCCCGCGTGCCCGGTCTCACCGCGCGGCATCCGACGCAGATGTGCAGCGGAGCGCCAAGATCGCAGTGCGGGGTGAAAGGCACGCGGCAATGGCTCGGTCCTTCACGCTTGATCTCCTCTTTGCAATCTATCCTCGCGAGGAGGGTCTGACCACGTGGTTGTCGCAATGACAGGTGAGCCCCTCGGCGTCCCTATTTCCCAAAGAGCCTCCTCTCCGCGAACACAAGTCCTATCTCGTAATGCACACCACGCGCTCCAGCTGCCAAGCTCATCATGAGCTGCTTCACGTCAGATACCCCCACGTAGCGCTTTCTCGTGTCTACAAAGGCCGAGTGCTCGTCCCCTACCCTAGAAAGCGGGCAGTGTGGTCTTCAAAGAAAAGCCAAGCTGTGTGCGCTCAGGCTTTCTACGCCTGTCTACACTCTAGCTTCTCCCCTTCTACTCTCGCATCTCCCTCTCTACTCCGGAGAACCGGCGAGGAGGTCGCTTTGTCGCGTTAGGAGAGAGGACCGTGCAAGCAAGATGAAGGGCAGAGTGCAAGAGAGGGGAGAGGCGGTCCCGCCCACGTGTGGGTTTTGACGATGAGGCGGAGCGCGGAGGATGGACATGGTGCGGGGACGGGAGGAGGAGCGCTCGATCAGGTGGATGTGGTGCCGGTGCCGGCAACTGTGCGCGTATCTAGACTCTTGGTCAGCTCTACTTCGGCAATTACGGAGTTGGCCCACCGAGCACAGTCAATGTAAATGTGCCTTTGCCCCTCTGCCTCGCCTCGCCCAGCGCTCGCTTCACACCCGCAAAACCCTCCCCGCGACCGGCCCATCGGCTCAATTACGCTCATTTGGTCATCAGTCACATCAGCGTCTCTCCGCGCCCTGACTCATGACCTGACCTGCTCGCGAGCCGCGCATAGAGCAGCCTCTGCAGCTTCTCCAGCAGCAGCACGTTTGGAGAGGACCACTCGATGCACGACGAGCCCGCAGAAAGGCTGATCTGCATGAGCGAGTCGCTCTTGACGAGAAGAAGTGCAGAATGAGCCGAAGTGCCGCGAATATGCCAGCTTGCCTTGTGTCTGGGAGCAAAAAGGCTTTCGCTCCGACATCTTTGCTGATCGTCGAGACGAGGACCAGCAAGGAGTCGATGTGCAGGCCTTGTTCGCCTTCACTGTCTCCTCTCTGCTTGCGTACGCCCAACGCAAAGGGCCCAATGATCTTGATCTGATCGCGAGGGCCTAGCTGATTAGCGAGAGCGACGTGAAGAATATCGTTAGCGCTCATCTCGCGATGAAACTGCTTTTGATTTGGTGTTGGTTAAGTGTGTTGTTAGTAAGATGGCAGACGTGGCAGCAGTGACGGCTCAAACATTGTCGGACGCGGCACCTGCGTGCCCACCTCCACCCCTCGAGGGCCACACGCGAAGCGAAATCGCCCCGTCCGTCCATTCTGACGTCGAGTCTTTGGGTGTGCTCAGCTCAACAGGAACGATCTTGGCTGCGCGGCCGAGGTATGGAATCGACGACCTATATTCGTGCTCCGCTTGCATCGCAGGGCATCTAGCAGGCAAATAATCTTCCCAATGATTCCGCCGCAGGGAGCGAGTAGAAGCACTCAAGTCCCAGTTGCCTCAACAACACGACATTCCTCCTTTTCAGACGTAACACCTTTCCTTCTTTGATGTGTGTCCACGGCGTACCCGACAAGTCATCGACCTTCTTAGTAGAATCGCACAAATCTAGGATGCTATCTCCGCCCATGTCGGGCGCCCTTTGGGAATCAGCAACCTTCGCTTCTTCTCTTGACGGGGCCTTTGCCTTTCGCGATCGTCCGACCCATGACTTCGTCAAGCACAGCATCTTTCGGCACCAGCCATCGGTTGCCGACAATGGTGCTGCCAAAGCCTCAGACGTTGCACGACATCTGGGCAGATACCCTCCCGCCCGCAAAATCCAAAGGGGATCGACTCCCGGCAAGAGAAGAGCTATCGAACGATCCGAAATGGACGTCGTCTTCACGGACGCGGGCCTGCCTCCCAAGCAAAGTCCACGCAAGACGGTGTCAAATAAGCACTATACGAGCAAACCTCGCGAGGAGACATCTTTGTCGCCTTCTTGCTCAATCCCCATCGCTGCTAGCCCGACCTTCTCGTTCGATGAAGAGCTAGGCGGTCTCGATGATGATCCCGGATTGAGACCAGACGCTGAAATGTCAGCGCCTCGAAGTGTCACAAGAACGAGGAAGGGGCTGCGCGCCCGCCACACGAGCACTCCGACAAGGCCGCAGCAGTCGGCCGCTGCACCAGATTATGGTTCCGTTCCATCTATAGCGGCTGTCGCCGACTTCTATAGCATCACATTGAGCCCGCCCTTCGACCCGCGGTTTCATCAGCGTCCAGATTGCACTTCACTTGCTCCACTGCCGCCCGATCCTGCGTCGCCACAAGATGTCACCGATGGACATCATCGGCGCCGGAGTTCTGTTCATGTTCCTGACGCTGTCGCGGACAACACGGCTCCTAGCCTCCCCAGCGTGGCGGCGAAAGCGTCCGACCCTTTACACGATGCAACGACGTCTTCGACAAAATCTTCGACACAATCCGCCATTATACAGGCCGACGATCTCATGAAGCAGCTGCGCTGTCGTTCCTCCGACGGCTCAAATGAAGAGATCGCAGCGTGTGACAATTGTCGTCGACGCAAGACTCGCTGCGATCGCATGAAGCCGTGCTGCGACAAATGTCTCGCTCGTGAAGAAGAATGTACTACAGACGATATCCTGAGAAAGCGAGGGCCACCCAGTAAGAAGCAAAGAGCTCTTCTCGCCGCCGCAGGACTACCTTTCATTCACAGTCGTGTTAGCAGGAAAGCTGGGCACAAAGGGCTCGCGGGCGAGCCGACTTCAGGCTTGTGGCCAGCATCGCCCCCGCAATCTCCGCCAGGCGTACCGTCGACTTCTTCATATCAGGTCTCGCGACCGCAATCAACGACGAGAGCTATGGCATCGCTCACAAGAGGCGGGCGGGCCCTCCCCAATGGCACCAGGCGGACCCATCGAAAAAAAGCCGATGTTAGCTTCGGCCGCGAGGCAGGGCAGTGAAGTCATCGACGATGACTGAGACCAATCCGATTCGCCTCGGATTTGCGGGCAGCCGCTGGTGAAGCATCGCGCCAGGGGGTGTTGCAGCTCATTTTGATTCTTTGCCCACAAGCGAACGTCAGTATGCGAGCCTCAGCTGTAGCCGAGAAGCCGCGAGGTTAAGGCCACTTAGCCAAGCGACGCTTGTAGACGCCCAAGACGAAGATGTCCCTCGAGGTGCTTATAATTGAGCAAATGACGAGGCTGATTCAGACTCGATCGACCGAAATTGGAAGGCTGTCACGGAGGTATTCTGGTGTCCCTGCTTCATCCAGAGCAAGTACACATCTTCCGTGGCCGTCTGAAAGAGCTTCGTAATGGCTGCGGATCGCGATGCTCTGTGCGAGCGAGCGGTTTGATCATGATTTGGTCCGTAGAAGATAGCCGGAATTCATGGCAAGATGTCGTGGCGACCGCGAGGTTGGGCTACGGTAGGGGGCGGCGAGGCAGGCGGAGATGCGAAGAGACGAAGAGCTCAACTTTTGAGGGAGATGGTGGAGTGGCCACTCTCTTGGGCGCGCGCCATACTGTCGGAAAGGAAATTGCTCTGAGGCGCACCGCATCACACCTTACACCAATAGATCGCTATCAGGCTTTAAGACCGTTCGGGCGGAGGCGATGTGTCCCGGATCAGTCCAGCTAATCTCGCATCTCAAAATGCGACAGCGGAAGTGGATTCGTAGATGCCGACATGAGAGTGCGGCAGCGATGATACGGTACCGCCGCTCACCCACTCCTTCCTTCATTCTATCGACTTGCCAACTCCCTTTCTTCTGACGGCAGCAGACCCCAGATTACACTTCTTTCTCGCCATCACTCCTCTACTTGGGTTTGTCTGCCTTGGCTGAGGTCGGAACAGGCCAACAAAAACTGGCAGATACAGGTCGGTATCATGATGGCGTTGCGCCATGGCATCCGCAATAGATTGCAGGGTATTCCCACACCGTAAGTCCCGTCCGTGTGGATGAAGGTGCGGAGCCGTACCTGCGCAACAGGGGCGGCGAGAATCGGCGAGAAAGTAGTAGTAGCGGTAGGGCTAGAAGGAACACTCTGTCTTGACCTCGGTACAGCTTGTGCTTGCCCAGGATCCGGGCTATCAACCGCTGACGGGCTAGCCAAGTGTCGCGCCGGCATCTCGCTCTCCACGCGGACGCCACAAATCGAATGCGGCCGGATGTGGTCGAAGATTGGTTTGATTTGGGCTTGTTGGAAGCCTTGTCGAGGAGGATCAGAGCGCGATCGAGGCCTGGACACCTGACGCTGCTGTTTTGAAGGTAGCGGTCCCCGATGACCGCAGTCAGGAAGATAAGGATGACGAAGAGAAGGATGACGAACATCATTTGTACGACGTTGGCCGCGCTCCTGTGACCGATAGCCGACAAATCTATCGCTAGGTCACAACAAGCGTTGGATATGCACTCCCTTCGGCGAACTTGCACAGCGAGGGCGCGCTGCAATTGTGCCAGTTGCATCGGTGACATTGGGCTCCAATCCTACAAGTGCAGGTCTTCTACCTGCAGACGATCTTGCTGAGGGATGGGAGGATTGGCCACTTGGCCTTGCCTCTGGTCTTGCGGGATTCGTGCCGCGTCCGAAACTGTTGCCATGGGCGGCAGTGACCGTGCTGTTTCGAGCTGTCGCCGTCCATTTGCAGTAGTCGCGTCAGAAGCAGAGCAAGCCAATCCATCGTCTACTCGCACGCGCCGCTCAAACACCTACCTCTGGGACGCTCTCTCCGACCTTCTCCCAGCACGCCTTAACGACTCTCTTCCACCTCACGCGGCAGCGGCGGAAATTTCGGATGTAGACCGTTTCGTGAAGCATGGCTCGAACGAGAAAAGCGCATGATTCGTTTTGTGGGCGCGATCGGCTCCAAGGGGCCTAGCGGTACAATTGCCAGGCCAATCATCTGTGTCTTGCTCTCCGGCACATCGCAAGCGCAGGTCTCGCTAGCAGAAAGGAGCTTGCACTCATCTCATGTTACAATCTCGGTACTTTGCACTTGACACGGTCCTGCTCGAGCATTGTCGTCACGTTCGACGAGCTCAGCCACCGGCCTTTTTTCCAGGGCGGGCCGTCTTTTCAGAACGCAAGTTCGGCACTTTGAGGTCCGTTTCAGTATTTGTGGACCCTGGACGGATCGTCCAAGACCGCGAAGTGATCTACCAACACCCCGAGCTAGCCCTCGTTGATAAAGAGCGGCGGAATGGGCTCGATCTAGGTGTCTTCTCGTCACGATCTGGTCACAATTGCCCTGCACTCCCTTTTTCCTTCACCTTCATTTTCAATCTTCACCGCACGCTAGCCGCTGTGCGTCACGACCGACTGTGTCGAAGTCAGTTCGCGATGCCCAGTCCCAGCGTTGACGTATGGCTACGTCCCAAGTGAGGCCGCTAGCTTTGCCTTCATTGCTGTCTTTGGTGTTTGCGCCATCTCACAGCTCATCCAGGGCTTACGCCGTGGAACCTATACATGGATGGTAGCTTTCTTTTTCGGCACGGCTATCGAGGTAGTGGGGTACGTCGTTCGCTTGTTGATGCGCTTCAATGTCTTCGACGACAGCTTCTTCTTGGTCCAGCTGGTGGCCATAATCATCGCGCCGAGCTTTATCGTCGGGGCTTTGGATCACATTCCTAAACACCTCGCTCAGGCCTTTGGAGCAGAGATGTCGCCCATCAGGCCGGCGCTGTACGTCTGGATATTTGTGTCCATCGACGTTCTCGGCCTCTTGCTACAGGCTGCGGGTGGTATCTTGTCCAGTAGTGGCGCTGGTCCGTCGGGCAATAAGAAGCTGTTGGATTCAGGCAATCACCTATTGGTGGCGGGCATAGCTGTACAGATCTTTCAAGTCTTGGCTCTAGGAACTGCCACCTTGGCGCTGAGCGTTCGTTTGGCGATCGGTCTACAACAGCAGCAGAAGATGTCTCACGAAGAATCGCTGAGCTCGATGGCGAAAAGTCGCTGGAACGTCCTGCTTTCAAGGCATTGCTCATCGCGTCAGCCACATCCTATACGGCCATCTTAGCGCGCTGCACATATCGCTGAGTTGGCACGAGAATGAACAGAAGCGACATTGGTTTCAACCTATTTTGCTCACGACCGATTTTTGGCCGGCTACCAGAGATGGCTGGAGGCTGGTGCCGACGCTTGCAATATTCTATATTCTCGACGGGACGTGAGCTACTCGATTCAATTACACAGCTCGGAACTCTGACTCCTCGATCCGCTTGCGGATCTCACCGCGCAAATCCAGCATGGTGGCTCTGGCGGCTGTTCTCCTTAGCATCTTCCATCCTGGGCGCTGCTTTCCTGCGATCCCTACATCCCGCGTGCCAGTCTTCTGGCCTGGTCGGACGAAGCGTGCCATCAAAGTTGTTGCGTGAAGGCGAGCCCAAAAAGGGCACTGCTTGGCGAAGCTCAAGCTCAAGCTTCGCCTCCAGGATGACTAGCTTTCCGGCCTTTTCACTGACCGCCGATTCCCTTGCACATTCGGGGCTTTTGACACTTGCGGTTCCGCTCGATCTACTAGGGAAGGAGTCGTGGGGTGAGGAAGCCTTGAATCGAGTGCAAGGATGAAAAGAGGAATTTACACTTGAATCGCCGTCCCTCTCACATCGAGTCGGAAACGACAAGCTTGCCTGTGCTCAGGGCAGTGCAGCGTCCGATAGCCTCCGAGCATTGACCTGCTCGAATATGGCTCTTCATGTTGGCCGTTGCAAAAGGCTTCTGACAGCTGTTCTTGATGGCATGCCGTCTGTGGCAGCCGCTTGACCTACGAATGCGAGAAAGTGAAAGCCTGGGTGGTTTTGACGATTTTCGACTGCGTGCAAGCGTGCTGCCACCTCAGCATCTGGCTCCTGCTTCAGATGCGTGGCCACAACGTCTGCTATGCACCTCGCTCCATCGAGGAGGGCATCAATTTCCTCAGATGTGCTTGCAACAAAGTTTTGCCCTACGTGCGACGATGCCCTTCCGGCAAAACTGTGAGCAACGTGAGCAGCGGCTCGAGATTGGTCAAGGAGGGCTGCCCGGGCTGCTTGACGAGTCCAAACACCTGCGGCATCGCCTGCAATGACGCTGCCTGAAATTGACGACGGAGAGCGATCGATTCCAAATCGCCTGGGCATGAGCTGCTTTCTCCCAAAGGAAGGTATGCAAATGTGCTTAGATGCAAGAGCCGTAGATAGTCATCTCTCGGCTTGAGACTTGGTGCCAGCTCCTGCCAATCGGCCAGCCTGTGCAGCAAACTGCGCTGTACGCATACGTCGAAGCGACCTGAGGTGGAACGAGCAAAACATGCGGCCTTGGCAATGTCGCGAACGATGGCGGCAAGGTTGCTGAGAGCGAAAAATCACAGCTCCACGCTGGGTTCTGCATTGACCATGCCAAAGCGTTGCTGCAACGTCTCGAGGACTTCATCTTGGATGAGAGGTAGCCGATCTGCGTCGAGGGCGTCAAATGCGCTGCGGAGCACACTGACCAGTACACTATACCGTTCTCGTTGACATTGACCGGAATGCTGAACGTTGTCGCCATTGACAGCCGTGGCTCTACGAGCCGTACCTTAGCCTGAGTCGATTGAGCATCCACCTTCAGAATGCTTCTACTGGACTGAAAGAGGTCGGACAGGTCCCAGACCTCCGTGAGAGCCAGCATGCTTGTAAGGACATCGTAATGATGAGGACAAGGTTGAGAAAGGGCCGTTTGAAGGGCTTGCCGCACCTCAGTCAGAAGATTGCGCCCCTCGACGCCTGCAACGCCGCTTTTGACTAGGGCGCAGACCTGTGCAGAGCGTAACAGGAGCGGCATGCTTGACGCTGCGGTCTGCAACAGATCGCCGAGCATTTGCGGCACGAGCCAAGGTTTCCTAGCGAAAGCGCAAGCCGACCTAGCGAAAGCGCAAGCCGACAGTGAGTGGGAGTCGTCGAATGATGGCGCAAATGTGCACAACGAGAGTCCAGTAGACTTCTAGAGCAGCTTGTCAAAGCGACGCACATTGGTGAACTATCAAAGTAGCTCTTTGCCCACACACTCACCATCCCTTACGCGAAGCTGTCCGAGATGCTCGACACCCATTCTCTTATTCATCACGCTCACCCGGCGAGTTTCATCCTCGTCGCAGTCTTCTTTCTTGTAGTGGCAATCCTGATTCAAGTGCCCAGTACGTCTCGGACTTGAGTGCCCAATGCATCAAGGTAGGGAATCGTCGCGATGCTCTCGAACCATCTGCGACTACCGTGCTCAGACATACTGATTCGAACCTATTCTGTTTCGTGCAATATCTTCTAGAAGGCACACCAGTCTATGGCTCTTCTCTCAGCGCGCGACTTCACTTCATGATGTTCACGGGATGGTGGACGCTGCTGACCACGCTCCCGTTGTGAGTCTCGCATTTAACTGTAAAGACCTCTCTTGCTGACATGGCAGGGCTGCCGCACCGACTCCAATGTATGCACAGGGAGCTTTCTCCAAAGCTGGCACATGCAGCACTCTCACGTACGTTGGGGCACCTGGTCATCTTGCCTGGTTGTCCATCACACTCAAGGGCGACTTCGTTGCTGCAAGTCAAGTGGCACCAAAGACTGCTCTGAGGGAGAAGCATTACTCGCCGCCCAGGCACTGCCCTTCGTGTCGAGGCAGCCGAGAGGGAGATCAGCCAACGGGCAAATCTCCGAGGAACTCAACGCAGGCATCTGTTCGGCCGGGTTCTTGGGACCTCTGCAAGGGATGTCTCCTACTTTCTCTATGGGACTGCGTGGCTCATGGGACATTCGTGATGCCAGCGCTGCCGCCGCTCAAGCTGCGCATTTCGACGAGGCCTTCCTGGCGGCGTCGATGTCATTCCACACAGGCGCCATTTGTGACTGCTCGGTCTGGGAAGGCACAGCTCAAAGAGACGCATGTTCTTATGATGATCGTGATCTGCCGCCTTTCATTGGAATGCTGTAGCAGGGCAAATGCCACAGCCGTGAGGCGGACAATGTACATTTCCTTTCCACCGTGCCGACGGCGACATCGCCGATGGCTGACCAAGACTGTCGGGTCTCTCAGTGTTTAGAAGGCGGGGCGCAGGAAAGGCTCGAGCCAACGCCATCTGCTTTCTTGTTTGCGGCAGATGGCTTCAGTCAGAAGATGTCTGCCTCGACTGCCCCACGCCAGGAGGACTGTCGCACTCTCCGGACCCTCCGTCTTTGGCTACGGCAGGACTTCTATAATCACCCTCCTTCAAACGCGGTTCGACTCACCGGAGGTGAGAGGTAGCAGCAAGTAAGACGCTTGCTTTGTCGCCCATCCTCTAATGACATTGGCCTTTTCTTGCCGCATACTGGGTCACAGCCGATTTTCCAACAGAGATGAGTCGCGGGCAGGCATCCATCAACTTGGCGGGGCCACTGAAGGTGGTTAACAAGCCTGCGCGATCAGATCCCCTCCGCAAGATGCTCGGCTGAGAGGGGACCATACTTTCGAAAATAATTCAGTGAAGGAATCGGCGAGGCTTTCGAATGCCCTTCCTTCCTCAAGACGCATGGCGATGATGTGGAAGCTCCACGTAAAGCCATCTGACTCAGTCTGTCCGTCGTCCTGACTCCCTTCGACAGCCCTTCATCTCAGCTTCCTCATTCGTTGACGTGCATCGAAAACCTTGACTCGCCGTCGCTTACGCAGCTTTCTCCCAGGCCGCAGGCATCCGCATACCCTTGAGCGCACATCGCGCTTCTCACGCCATCGCATGCGACTCCATGAGGCGCGACGGCGGAGAGCCACCGTAGCGACAGACTGCGCTAACTCGAGAGGGGCAGGCGGAATTTTCAAATCATGAGGGTAATCGAATTGATCCCTCTATCCACGGTGTCATTGATTCGAGCATCGCGATGAAAAGCCGTCGAGTAGCATTGAAAAGACCCCGCGACCATGCGCCATCCTTCCAGCCTATGACTGCAAGCCATGTGCAGAAAGGCCGTGATCACTCTGCTGGAGACAGGCTGTCTGCAGGCGACCCTCGCTCTCCTTCGGATCTGTGACGTTCGGCTTCTCTCTGAGCCCTGGGGAAGCGCCCAGTGCGACCAGGACCATTGGTCATCACCGTCATCCCAAGATTGCTAGCCGATGCGAAGGCCATGTATCGGCGGATACTTGCGAAGCTGAGCTTGTCCAGGCGCGTTACGCATACTTGCGGCACAAGACCGAGGACCTCTCGGCCAAAGCACTCCACTAGTACAAAGTATTTGCGCGATCTTTCCAACCGCTTTTTGAGACCGGCCTCGGACATGGTCTGAAGGGCAGGCTCGGCGGCCATTGCGCGGATCGCAACGACGACGGAGCCAAAGACGAGTTGATGGAAGGTAGACGAGCTGGCAGAGGGGCACGAGTCGAACGTGAGCTCGGCGAAGTGTACGTAGGCAGCGCCGAGGTCGTAGTAGGCGCGGTTCACTCGATGTGTCACTGTCAATGATGTGGCTTCGGCTTGCCCAACGTCCGTCAGCGCCGAAGCGAGCTGCTGCGTCGGTGTCGTGTTCGGTCTAGGACCGACCGGGGAAGCGCCTGCGCCGTCTTGGCCCTGTACCTCACTGTCCACGCTGTCGAAGCGCCTTTTCTTCGCGTGCTCGACATCGATCGGCGGCTCATCGGATATGCTCTGTTGCAGCCGTAGGAAGAATTCTGTGTCGGTGTCAAGATTGTCCTCGCCACGCTTCCTTTTGAGTTTGCTCTCTGGGGTCGACAGTCGGCGGAAGAGGCGCGCACGGTCCTCCTCGGCCGCGGACGAGCTCCAGATGCCAGGCATGATCTGTGCGCGGCCGAACGTCAAGAGTCAGCTGTCAGCTGATGAGGCATTCTATATGTCGTCCGCACTCGCCTTGAATTGTCGACTAGCGGCCGAAATGAGCAAGGGAGGACAGCTGCCGAGATTCACTACCAGCTTAGCGTAGGAGAGCGAGAGTAGAAAGGCCAGATACATATGGCCGACGCGCTCTGGGGCGTTGAGGTGTCGCGCTGGATCTACGTAGCTGATGATGCTCTTCATGAACTCGTCGACGCCCTTGATCTTCTGGATCTCCTCGAGGTGCGGTTCGATGAGAATGTTGCCGTCGTGACTGATTTCCATTTGTGCGTACGTGATTGCTGAGTGAACTTGATGTCAGAGGCTTGGAGGGCCGCCTTTTTGTACGTCGCTTTGTCGTCCAGTGTTTGCTCTGAGCAAATGGCGAGCTGCGCAGCGATGTGTCTGCCACTTGCATCCTTACTCGTATTCCTTTGTCTCTCCTCTCTCCGCCACTGTCTCCTCTCTCCGCCAATGCAGACTTGATCAACGTATGGTCCTTGTATTTGAGTGACCCCTTTGTATCCGGCGCTGCCCCCTCGCACTCGTGGAGCCTCTGGACCCCTGTGGTCTTTGCCGATCTCGACGAAGATAAGCCACATCAAGAAGTCGCTCCGCATCGAGGACAGCGACAAACAAAGCTTCGGGCCTCGCCAAAAACTACGTCGGGCCACTCGGTGCCCGCCCGCTCTGGCTCTCGACCAATTGTCACTCCGACGCCACCAGATCCTTTGTCTGCTGACGCCCACAGGGCGCAAAATAATCGCGCCGAGTCGCATCTCATACTTCGATGACACAGGTCAGTCGACCATTTCACGGAGCATTGGCGCTATGGCACTCAGAACAGCGACAAGACAAAGGCGACCATTATTGGTGTCCTGTGCGTCGTCGCGGCCTTGCTTCGGCGATCAGCTCCTTTCCGCCGAAAGCACACCAGAAGACCCAACCCTTGCACGACGTGATGCCAAGTCTCACAACATCAACCCATCCGTGCTGATTCTAGATTCGCACCCTTATCCCCTTGACCAGCACAATCTTTGCTTGTCCTCCGATTGTGTTGCTCCCGCTCGTGCCCTCGCTTCCCCTCAGTTGCCACCAGAAGGCAGCGACGAAAACCCCACAACCTTTCTTGATGCGCTTGAATCCGTCTGCGCCCGGTTCGGCCGTGCAGGCCTCGACGGTCCATGCTGTCGCTGGACGTGAAACGGCGATTGATGGCCAGACGATCTCCGGATTGAGAGCCCGACCCCGCAGCGATGCTCAGGTCGTACTCGTCAGCCCACACAAGATCAGCATCCGCGATCATCAAATGAATTGAGCAAATGCTGTGCAAGAGTTTCGACTGGGAGAGGGTTTGCATCTTGGATGGTGGCCGCTGCGTCCTAAGGACCATCATGTGGACCCAAGCCGTTCGTTGCCGTGACGCACGAAGTCCTGGGCGGCCCACTTCATGTGCACGACAATCTCTCGCGCCCAGGGAGGCTCCTGAAATTTCGTCTCTCCCACATTCCCCCTTCTCGTGCTCTTCGCTAGAACTCTGCCAATCTCTTGGTCTGCGCCGTCGCTTGAGAGAGCAGCCCAACATGCGATGCTAGCGGCAAAGAACCACATCTCGTCTAGGGTCGGCAACGCATCTGAGGGAGTGGCCAGGAGCAGGAAGCGATGCAAGCACCGCCTCAACTCCTGCTCTGGAGGCATGATTGCCCAAAAAGTGGAGCATACGTAGGGTGGCAGCCTCGCACCTGCTCTGAGGAAGTTCTTGCTCCTGCGCTCTTGGCTCATGGGAGCAAGTAGTTGAGGTAGGCGCTGACCACGCTGCCGCTGCTCGGAGCCAGGCAGAAAGGTCGAAATTGACAAGGCAGGTCGGAGCAGACGATTCGTCGACGCGAGGCCAATCAGCGCTTCGAGAAAGTCGGATGCTTGGCCATTATGAAGGGGCCAAGGATAAATGACATGAGGTCCATGATTAGACCACTTTTCAACGTCGGCGAGGTATCTGGCAATCTCTTTCACTTGGCGATATCGCGACAACTTGGCAAACGAGGTCGAATCGCGAAGAAGGCAGGAAACACGGCGCTGTATGGATTTCGACGAGGCATAGAGCGCTTCTGCCCGCAGAGGTGTGCATGTTTCGGATCTGCTAGCCAGGTCGTGCTCATCCTGCAGAAGGGCCCATTGGACAACTTCGTCCAGGAGTTCTGATGGCAGCGCAGCCGATCTACTGGAACTTGCTCGGGCCGAGGAGAAAGGGTGTGTCAAGTATTGACCCTTTCTGAGGATGTCGATGCCCATTGAGAAGGATGTTGTAGGAAAGCGTAATGTAGCATTGGAGATCCATCCGCGGAGGCTCGGAGGTCGTTTTCTTTCCGCCCCCAAATGACGTCAGGGAATCACACGTGGAGGAGCTCACCAGCTTGTATATTCCTCTTCTTGAGATTCGAATCGTAATTTTATGACTGGACTCACAACGTCCCTTTGCCTCCTCACCGACCCATCATGCCAGCACGTCAGCGCATCGTCCTCTTTGGCGCCTCAGGCTTTGTTGGTGGCTCTCTATTGCATGCTCTGGTCTCACCACCTTCATCAACATTCGCGAGCGTCCTCGCTGTGACAAGCAGCGATGCCAAGGCTGCTCAAATTGAGGCCTGGGGCCGTTGGATTGGCGCGAGCTTGGAGACTCGAGTCATCACAAGTGAACATTCATGGGTCGCTGCAACTCCACTCGCCGTCGAGGCTGATCTGGTTATTCAAGCGGCAACGTCCGATGACCTAAAGCTCACTGAGGCGATCAATGTCGGCTTGAAGCAAGGGCGACGAGGAAGTCTAATCCATTTCTCCGGCGTCCAGCTCATTGAGTCACAGCCCGTCGGCAAATACGTCGAGACTAGACTTTTCAATGACTTGGACTTGGAAGCGCTTGCCGCTATTCCTGAATCGGCAGCGCACCGCTCAATCGACCTGTCCATCGTCGACGCCGTGACTAGAGGCGAGCTCTACGGATCGATCGTGTGCCCAGCTCTTGTCTGGGGCACCGGGCGTGGCCCATGCAAGAGGGTGTCTGCGCAATTCCCAGACCTCGTCGCGAAGGCGCTCATGAACCGCTCAGCCGTTTACGTCGGCGAAGGCACCAACCGCTGGACAACCGTGCACATCGACGACCTGGTTGACTTGTCGATGCACCTTGTCCATCATCACTTGATCGATCAAAAGTCCCAGCATCCTCCCTCTGCCCACTCGACTTTTTATTTCGCCAGTCACGCATCAAGTGACCAAGACTTTCGTTCCCTCGCTCGTGCCGTTGGAGAAGGCCTTTTTGACCTCGGCCTATTGCCAAGTGCAGATGCGCAGTCGTTGCCTGTTCCGGACTTTGACGCTACACAAAAGGGCGTTCGCATCGAGGACGACGCCCGCAGCGAGGAAGAGGCAGAGAATAGGACGCCAATCTGGCCGTGCCGAACTAATTGCAGATGCGTATCGGCGAGGGCTAAGGAGCAATTTGGTTGGATAGCAAAGCGGACCTTCGATCTTGCTGCCGCAAGAGAGGATGCCAAGGAAATCGCGAGGCTGATTGCATAGCACAGTGTCGCCCAGAAGCTTTTTCACTGGGTTCACAATACAACGCACCTTGAGAACTCAGTGCATCCTGAGCTGCCTTTGGATCACGTCGCTCGCGCCGCCCATTCTGCCCAGTCAGACCAAGTGGATGAAGGAGCAAATGGCTGAGAGCTATCGACCAAGTAGCCATGAAGGCCTCGACTGCTGTGATGCCGCCATCGACGCTCAAGGACAATTGAAAGCAGCACTTGCAAGGGCACTCACAATGACCATCTGCGAGGTCGTTAATCGACAATGGCTGACGACGGTACTGGCAAAGCGGTGCCGATTGAACTGTGCAGGGCCATCCCGCTTACAGATGAGTCGATTACTCAATTTGCCGGCAAGGGGCGGAGGAGAATACATTACGACCTGCACCACAGCTCTCTGCGCACCCTTAGACGTTGGTCCGTCTCATTCTCTTTCCCGCATGCAACATCATGTCTTCTTCGAGGCTGTACTGCTCTGCGGTCCTTGAAGACAAGGACTTCGATGGAAGCTACGACGATCGTCGATATACTCTGGCTATCGGCGTCGCAGACCCTCCAGCTTCCGATCAGCTGGAATGGGACTTCGAGCTTCTACTGACTCTTGCAATGCCTCGCATCGTCGGCATTGCTTACAGCATTGCTCGTCGTCTTCAAAGACACTGAGATGATTTCGGCTGATCGACGGCCAGTCAATTGCGGCGGCGACGATGCGCTCATCGACGGATTGACCGACGATTGACCGAGCCATGGGCCAGATTGAAAGAGACGAGAGTTGACGTTGATTCCAAAGCTTGGCGCAATCCACTCCTTTCGTGGTGCGGATGTCGTCATTCGTCACCTCATGGTCAATAAACTCGCTTCGGCAAGCACCACCTCTAAGCTAAGCGCATAGTGCGCATCGATCTTGACATTCCAAGTTGCATGTAGCTCGTTCACATGGCCGGCTTCATCTTGCCGACGCATCAATCGCTTGCTCTTAGTAGACATACGGCGCTCTCGATGTTGCAAAATGCTTGATGTTGCCCTCCGCTGCGCACGACGGCGACGCAGGAGGACAGCAGAAAAAAATCCGGCGCCCCAGCTTTTGCCTGCGCGGTTCTATTTTCACAAGCTGGCGAGAAGGCGCCGTTTATGAGGCTGGCCTTTCTTCCTTGGCCTCGAGGGAGAAAAGACGCAAGGCATCTTGAAACATTTACTGCGCTGCTTTGCCTACTGACTGTAGATGAAGACATTGGTTCACCTTGGCTGAGTCGATTGATCTCGGAGTCCAGACACACGCATTCATGATTGGTGCTCCCTCAGAGTGCGATGTTTTGCTCTTCTCCGCGGCTTTTATTTCAATTTCGTTTGACGCAAAAGTGTTGCTGATGCTTGACAAAACGAGGAATTACAACAGGGGCGTCCGCAGCATCTTGCGGCTCACTTCTCACTCTGGAAAGCCTCATTGGCGCCGCTGAAGAAGCACCGAAGGGACCGAGTTGGCTCAAAAGCGGACGTTCATCATTCGAAGCTGATCTGAGTCAAGAATAAGCTTCTCCTGCAACGCTCAGCTGTGTTTTCAGCTGTGTGAAAACGACCGTCCCTTGCGGTGGTGCTCTTTGCAATTGTAAGTGCGGTGCAAACATGTTGCAGAGCAAAAGCAAGCCGGAGCAAGAAGGCTCGGCACACAGATTGTCGGATTCCTCATGCGTGCTGCTCGTCTCCAGTCTCTGACGCCCACCATTCTCGGGTGACGGCGATACTGTCACGTATAGACCGACAGCACCGAAGCTAGTATGCTGACTGCTCTGCGTCGGCTCTGTACGTACGCAGGGATGAAGTCGCTGAATGCAAAAGCTTGCCATACACTAAGCACAGATTGAGCTTCACGGGACGCATGCTAACGATGACGACATGCTGAATATTTTGCAGCCGCACCGCTCCGACGACGCAGCGTGATCTTCATTGATACTGGCACGTCTTTTCAAGACCTGAACAATGCGAATAGCGCCTCGCAAATTTTGATCTTCTACTGAGCACCGACCTGATGACCTCCACAGATTTGATGCTATTTTCTCGCTGTGAGTAATGACGAAATTGATTTGCTGCAGCATGTCAAGCGTACCCCAAGATTGGCAACCCGCGCACCGTTTGTTCATTGAATTGGAAATATGCCGGCAGTTCTGGCGATCTTTTGCACATCCTAGACACTACATCTCTGATTGTACCATCTTGGCCGGAGTGTGTCACACAAAAATCCAAGAAATATGCTACCTCTGCAGAGTAGACGACATTTGCAACGAGAAATTGGGGTTGAATAGTCCGCAATATCTACGCGAAGGCACCTTCTCTTTGTCCAAGTCGGACGACGCATTTGACATGACCTCAATTGCCCGTATATGTCGACCCAAAACAAGTCGACTCACTTCTTTGTGCTGTGGGTTCGTTGTGGTATACAGAGAATATCTCAGCTGTCGAGGAAGCGCTGATCAGCGGCACTTTGCGTACAGTCCCTGCGGCTGAAACAAAGGCACCGTCTTGGGCCGCAATGCCACAATGACGTGGAAGAATGAGCCATGTAAGCACTTCGAAATCACCTGGAGGGACTTGCATTAATCACCTCGATCCGTTGCCTTAACACGAGGTGAGCAGTGTCTTTCGTTGTCCATCGAGCCGCCAAAAATCACGATATAACCAGACGCCTTCTGTCAGCAGGAAGAAAGAATTGCTAATCACTTCTGTGGTCACATTTCTGTCGCCGCGACGCGAGCGATGTACGCTTAGGTCGAAGCTTTGCTTTGCTGCTCTTTGTCTTTCCGTCTGCTTCCCACGGGGCGGCAATGCGATAGAGACCCCCTTGATAGGGCGTACAATCTGCGTGAGACTTGTTGCTCAGCAACAATGTCCTCTGCGAACGTTTCGCCCCACATGACTATCCGCACTGTCTCAACCTCTCGAACGATGATCTTCTCTTCTGAGCAGCTGAAATCATTCTCTGCAGGTCAATCGGTCGAATGTCGTGCGCTCTTGCTTTGAACACCGCCAAAACGATGACAGGCGTTCTACGCTCCATCGAGGTAGGGCCGAATCGTCCATTCACGAATGGTGCTGAGAAGAGACATTCGCATTGCACAAGACGTTCTGTACGAGCATTGCGTGCGATATGTTGCAGAAGCCAGAAAGAAAGAGGCGCTGCGCGAGAGCCATTGAGGGCGGAATGAAGGCAAAGGCTAGAGTCGCGTGTCTCTACGCTTATTGACAGTGGCTAGCAAGCGATCGTACTAAGTGATAGCAGCGTCCCAGTCCTGCGCTCCAGACTGCTCGAGGTGATGACTCGAAAGGACGTTGCGCTCACTGCGCGACCGCTGGCGGTAATTACGAGAAGGTCGACCGTACCACGATGCAGGCGGCGATCAAGAAGCGCAGGGCAGCCGCGAGCCCAATTCGAGCGTGGAATGTGAGCTGGAGACGGTGGACAGGCAGTGATCAATTCTTGCGAGCCTGAAGCAATGCGGTTAGAAGTACATTTCGGATGAGACTCACGAACCTCCCAGTGGCTCACCGTCCGGCCCTCTTACAGGCGCCGACCTGGACTCTCGGTGGACACCAGCCTCGGTCCGCCCCCTCTGCGCGCCTGTCAGCCCTACTCAAGGCAGCGCTGGCATCGGTCGTCTGGCGCGACGTTTCATTTTGCAGGTTTCAGGCGTCACGGCATCAGTCGCCAAGGTGTGGGCCGTGAACGACAATCTGCAACGCCGCGGTGCCCACGGAGCCGGGTTGGCAGAAGACCGCAGGCGTGCAGCGACGAAGGCCAGAGCACGGGTGACTGTCAGCTCAATGCTCCGGTGTGTACGCACACGAGCTTTCGAATGATCGTGGGCAACAACAGTGATGTCAATGGTGCTTTCAGGAAAAGCGGCTACGCGAAGCCGTTTCGCGCTATCCGAAGAGACTTTGCCAAGAGGCTTGACGCGATCGAGCTCTTCGCCCGCGAATGAACGAAGGCAAATCCCACCGTGTCCCCAGATGGTCCAGACATTTCTTTTCTTCCCCTGCACCTCGACTCTCAGCAGATCCCTCTTTGCAAAGTACGGCAGATTGAGCTCATCAGACGCGCAAAATCACTGTCTGCGGAGGCCGTCACTCAGACTCGGTTGCCGAGGTTATCCGTGCTGACCGCTGTGCGCGCTTTGTCGAACTTGCTGGCCCCACAAAATGCTCACTCCGTTGTCTCTGTGCCACCTCCGCAGAGCTCACTTGGCGCGGGATGCAAGCCAAAGCGATCATCTGAACACGCCCTTCGCACTGTCTTGCAAGGCACCGTCACACCACTCAATCATTGGTTACAAAGATCCTGTGGCCCTACATCGTTCACCGCGTGTTCAAAGGCCGCCACAAAAAGCCTCTTTAGAGCTCGCTAGACCTTCTTGAGTGAAACATCATATCCCCAGAGGATGCGCGCCAAATTTCTCAGCCATTCAGGCCTACACGTCAGGACGCGAAGCCGCCTCACAGGTCAGACCGTTTGGCTGAACAAGAACGACGTCAATACCGCAGTGCCCGCAGGGCGGCAGTAGCGGACCTCATCGCCATAAAGTAAGGAAACAAACAGACTGGTCTCTGACGAAGTGACCGCCAGAAGTCCGCTTTTCCTGGCTTCAATTGGTGGTCGACTCAGTGAGTCGCCAGAATACCCCTAGACTGTCGAGCAAATGAACGACCATGAGACCCTTCCTGCGCACGCGATGGAGTGATGGCTCCCTCAGGAAGAAGGAACATTCGTCGCCCGCACGACACTCGAGAAAGAGATGACGCCCTTGAACGTAAGCAAGTGCCTCCTTCCTGGCGCGGCTCGAGCTGATGCTTACTCTATTGACACAAAAGGAAACCAGTGAATGAAGCATTCCGTCATTCTTATCATTGCCTACTGGATATCGCATAGCGATGCCCGTCGTGGAGCAGCCGACTTCCAAAGGCCAGTCATCTCTCCCTCCATGCAGGACACATTTAAGTGAAAGAAACATCTTTTATCCTAGACGAGCTTGGTTTTCCCGAAGACAACAATCCAACTGAGGATCAGCAGCACAGGTACCTCGACGAGTGGCCCAATTTTCTGCGAGTGGCTGGTCGAATCCTGTACCGAACGTCGCAATGTACACTGCCACTGCTGAGTCAAAATCACTCGACGAGAAGGTCAAGATCTGCGTCTCATAGGTCTTGTAGGTCGACTGCTTCCCTGGACCGTATCTGCGGACCATGAACTGTACGAAGTCGAATCTTGCACTCAATGAGATGACAAGGTAGAGGATGAGCGGAACAGAACAGTGGACAGTAGGCGCGAGGTGGTCCAGCACGTACGCCGCCTGCTTGCTCTCCGCTGAGATGGTGATCCTGGAATAGCCCGATCAGCGAAAATGGGATGAAGCGTGGAAGGAAGAAAAGACGCAGCGGTCGCGTACAAGCAAGTCCGATCCGCTAGATCGTGTCCCGACCCCAACGACAAGCAGAAATATCAGACGAATCAAATCGGCGATCGCTATTTGGCGGTACCGTAGATCGAAAGCGCCGAAGGCAGATTTCATGCTCATCCACGACATGGCTAGCGATGCGCTCGCAACGATCTGCAGCAACGACTTGAGGGTGAAGAGAATAGCGCGTATGTCCGTTCGGACTTTTGCGATGGACGCACAGACTGTGACAACCGCAATGCATCGAGCCGTACCGACAAAGACGGTGCCTCCGCGGTCGGTTGCGAAGTCGGAGAACATCGCGGATGCGAGGCCCAGAATGAAGAATAAGAGTCAAATGGACTCGCACTAACATTGCGATCTGGCGGCGAAGTGCCAGATTGTGAGTTGTACGCAGTGAGTCAGCAGTCTCTGATCCAAGAAGGGCAACTTGCAGCTGAAGCGACTCAGTTCCGCCCGGGCGGGTTTGAAGGGAATCACGTCCGAGTGAAACCATCGTAGCGGCGCCGTGGCGCCCAGAAGAGCTTTCTCCTCAATCCAGGCATTAATTCTCCTTTCCGGTCCTTCCACGCAGCTCGTGTTCCAGGGTGCTCGACCAACGCCACGCGGTTGGGCCATCACGCAGCGGCGAGGCCGAGAGTGAGACTTGTTTATCAATTGAAGCGGTCTAGAACCTTCTTCTTCCTCTCTCCCCGGTTTCTTGCCTAGCTCTAGCTAATGCTGGAGCCTCGCGTCCTCAGTTGCAACTCGACTTGCATAAGTGGATGGTCCGTCTTGATTCCGGCCCGCCAGAAAGTCAGGGAAGCTTCTGACCATGGCGTCGTTGCATCGGTCTCGCCGCCAGGTACTCGCAAGTAAGCGTGATCCAGGCGAGGCGTGGCTGAGATGGCTTTTCCCAAGGACGGTCGAGTGGGAATTGCCTCTTGCTGCTCGTCATCTTGCTGCTCCCTGTCCGGATGTGTCACAGCGTCGTGAAGATTCGGAGAGGGTCCATGATCTCCGTGAGGCCTGTCGCCAATCACAATCTCCTGCCCTAGTCTTTTTCTTCGCATTCTCATTCCCTTCCGATTCAACCTCTTAAAGCGCATGCTTTTCTCCTCAGCACTCGAAACCATTCTCTGCAGCCCGATCGCCCGTGTGACTGCTTCAATGATGGCAAGCCTCGACTTAGGATACCCAGAAACGATAACAGCTGTCTCGCGTTCCACCACCTCAGGGTCCTGTTGTCCATCCATCAGTGGAGCTTGGGGCTCGTAATAGACGTTAGCGTCGCCCAACAAGACGTCTGCTTGTAGTGAGTCCGGCGGCGAGGCAAAAGTCTCAAGGAGTGAGATGTCGCGAAAGCGGCCCATCGAGGGCGGAAGATAGACAGAGTGTACGACGATGGGACGTCCAGCGTTAGCGTCTGAGGGCGCGACGGAGAACGTCAAAGAGTAAGGTGTGATCGATAAGACCACGACGCGATCAGCAAGGTGAGGCGGACACAGGAGTATGAGACCGCCCTTGGCCCCTGCGGAGCAGCCAGTTTGAAAGTCTCCTGTACGAGATGCCGGTACAGTCGAAGCCAGGATCCACGCCGCATCTCGTGCGAGGACCTGTTGCGACAGCGCTTGAGGCCTCCACGTTTCGGCCAGCACGAGTATGTGGTTCCTACCAACAAGTTGTGAATGCCCGGTATACATGGCCAAGTGGCACGCTTTCAGTACCGTGCGCCACTTGTCAGCGTTGAGGCCGTTGACGTTCAAATAAGAGATGGTCAAACTTGGAGCGGCTGGGTCGGAATGAGGGCGGGACAGCGCATCCCGTAACTGCTCAAGTTGAGCCTCAGCGGTCAGGTTCAACGGCGGCTCATACGGAGGAGGCTCTCTTGCTGCCCGGATGATGATTCTGCCCCTGGGCGGCTTCGGCTGACCAGGTCGACCATGCAAATTGCTGAAGAAACGGTAGCGCGTGGGAATGATTTGCCGGACTTTGCTCCGCTTGCTCGTAGCTCTAAGCTTTTTGGTCGCATGCGCCGACTTTCTGGCTCTGCTTTGACGCCGTGAGGAGCGTGTGCCTCCTTCCTCGTAATTTCGTCTCTTCTGAGGGCGTAAAGATTTTGTTTGGGCCCTCAGGACTGGCAGCGCGGCGGTCCGCACGATGCTGGGCTGCGCGGGTATTGGTGGTACGGCGATGCAGAACTCTAGCGCTGACTCCGGCGGCGTTAAGGCAGCAATCGCTTTCAGTTGGCGGCTCCTGTCACAGCTCCTTTGGGTGACAGCTGGTGCGCTTTGTTCCGATTCACAGACGGGCAGCTCGAGGTCTGACTCTGACAGCCATTGCTCTTCTTCCCGATCTTCGGCGCCATCAGGGCCGAGAAGGCCATTTTGCAATGCCGCTCTCAGATGCGCAAGATTGCATTGCACATGCCCGGTGCGCAAATGGAAATTCGCATTGATGCGATCGCCATGCTGCGCCAGAGCGTCGAGCGCAAGCGTGCATCCCTTGAGCAACGTCGCGGCTGTGTCACGTTGGACAGCGCTATGACCTCTCCAAGCTCCATCCAGATAAGGGCCCAGAACATACTCCACGAAGTCTGCGCAAGACATGGAAAAGCTGCGAAGCTCAAGGCAATGCTTGTGATCATACCGCCGATGGCGTCGAGAGTTTGATCCTGGGCCGATGAATTTGCTCCAATTCTTGTAAAGCACGCCCCGCTGGCCGCATTTTGGGCAGGAGATGTCCTTGCGGTACTGCTTCATGAGCCCATCGACCCATCCATGGACCGACTCATAGCTTGTGAAGGCAGGAATCGACGGTAGCAGCACCATTCTTGTAGCAAAGGGCTGCTGAAGACGATTAGATGCGATGCGCGACATGCCAGCGGTCGCGTCGCGTCCTTTCAGCGGCAGCGGGTCTTCGGCCGTGCTTCCGCGCGAGTGAGCAGGACAGAGGGCAGCCCTGCTGATCTGTCCGGCGGCCCGTGGTTGTCGAACAGCGGATGACATGTGGAGCTAAATGACGCGCACCCCTCTTGGGAACTTTGTACGCAGAGCCATCACTGTCTCTCATCCACGGTGCTCTCTCGTACCCAAGGCTCGGAGTCCATATTCAGTCGCCCTGCTCTTCTGCGCCGCTGCTTCCGGCTGACAACAGATGTCTGCTCGGGCGCCGTGCTCCTTCCGATCCTCCACGAGATTCCAGCAAACAGTTGCGTAGCGGGCACAACGCCCCGTCAAGTCTCCAGCTCAAGCAGTCTCAACGAAGCGTTGAGATGCTCTGTCTGTTCAACGCGCAGTCTTTTTTTTTTTTTTTTCTGAAACCAGGCTCAGGCCCGGATGACCTCATCCTCTGCTTTCTTGTCGATTCCAAAATCTCAGAGTGGTCAGCCCGAGATCCACATTATCGGTAACAGTCAGCTCGCCGGAAGCATGAGCCTCAGGCTCGTCCGCCTGCGCAACTCAAGCAATCGAGGGGGACTCGATCATCCGCGTTCACTGTAACACTGGCTTTGCCACGTCCTCTGTAGCTCCAGACGGCGCTCTCGCCGAGAGGTGGACACGTTGACGCCGGGACTGTAATAGGACGCTTACAAACAACACGTGGGAATCTCGACTCCCTGTCGTCGCCTCGCTTCTTGCGGGGCACTGCGAGGGACGTCTCCGTCGTTCCTCTATTGAGACCTCAGCATATCAAGTCGAACAATTCCCGAGCCCCTCGACCGGACTTTGGCTTGACGAATCCCCATCCCCTTCCATATCGGTCACGGACACCTTCACGAATCTCACGTCGACGTCCAACTCGACATGCATGCTGTGATGAGGACAGCCGAAAAGATGCGTATGCGAACGATTGTCCTGACAGCGTCTCCTGTCGCAAGACAATGCCGTGAGCCGAACCTACTCAGCCTCTGTCCTCTAAGCTGGGCATCGAGCTCCGATCTTGTCAGGCAAGGCTGAGCGCCTGCGTGCGATTGAATCAGCGACAGTAGACGCAGCACTTCCTGATGCTCGTCTCATGATCGCGGTCTTTGCGAGACGGCTAGGCGCAGCGGTCAAAGGCTCATGTCTCGTCAGTAATCGTAGCCGTGGTCCGACTCCTTGACAGCTTACTCGGACCGCGCGCTGGTAAGAGGATTCGATCTCAGCTCGTCGCCTCGCGTGCCAGAACTCGGCGCCAGCGATGCTGCGTTCACCTCAGGACCGCTCGTCTCTTTGACCAATCACCAACCTAAGCAGTAAGCCTCAGCAGACGCGGCGACGCCTTCTCTTGGCACTTTTCACGCTTCCATCATGGCCTCAGTCCGTGCAAGCGCCAACCCGTACCCACCCAACAGACGCCCGATCACGTTTCCGCTGCCTTGTACCAAGCATCCTTCATTCGGATACTGTGGACACAAGGGCGATCACGTCGACCTTGCGCCCGTCGCCACGCATTTTGGACGCCACGCACAAAAGGCCACGCGCCATGCCGAAGAAGTCAAAGCGTGAAGGCGAGGCTCTAATTTGCTTGGTCTACGGTTGCCGTACCACCATGGAACCGCGTCGAGGTCTGCAAACTCCAGGACTCTGTGCAATGTAATATTTGCCGCCTCCGGTGGGCGAAAAAGCGCGGTGATGTCGAGTGGAGGAAAGCCGACATTCTCCTACTCAAAGACTTGAAATTTCGAGCCAGCAGAGTATACGGAGTGGTCAACGACAGCAGCAGTAGCCCCGGCGATGAAAGCAAGCGCCAACTGCTGATGATTTGATCCGAGGTGAGCAAGGAGGAAAACAGCGAAAGCGGTACTGCTGGCCATGTACGTGGACGGCGGCAATGCGGTGATCGGTTGCTCAACCGTGCTCGCGGTCCATGACAGGCTTGACGCAACGTTCCGAGCGAAGGCACCGACTTTGTAGTAGCCGACGGATCACGGCTTCGCAGTACAAAAACAGTCACGTTTCTCCGCTGTGTTCAAATTCGCGAGCGCCGCGGCGAACACAAAGGCAGCGCCTAGGCAGCCAGACGCAGTTGTGCGGGCGAGCATGAGATCGAGTGCAGGAAGCCACTCCCCTGTCTTGCTGGTGGACAACACATTACTCTCTCCCTGTCAACTTGATCCCCACGACATGAGGCATCTGACGGAGTGTCAGACTCACTGCTGAAGCTGCTGGCCGGAGCCATCAGGCGAATTAGCAGACTGCAAAGGACCAGACAGCACAGTGTTTCATGCCCTCAGACGAGGCCTGGGTGCTCGTGACCGTCGTCCGCCGGATTAACATTCCGTGCGGATCCGTCGCATTAGGCTGGCTTGGACATTGTTGAGAGTTGACTTACACTGTGGAGGCGGAGGCTTCCGAGCTTCTACGGTACTCCGTGAAGGAGTTCACCGTCTATATCGTTGACCGCAGGCGGCATACGCCCAAATCCTGCCACAAAGGGGGTTCCCATGCAGTCGTGAGAGCGGCCCAAAACTGCAATGTAATGCTCTGCGTCGCCGTTCTTGAACTCTGTCGGCTTTCCTGCAGCTGCGATCGGAAGGGAGTTGCAAGCATGGTGGTGCTTGAGGCAGCTGATATCGGAAGCGCGAATGATCTGCTCCTCATCGGTGGTGTCTCAGAGCATACAACGCATGAGACTCAACGAAGGACAGCGCCCAGAGCCTCTGTCTCCAAGGCGGAATGCAGCGAATAGAGCACGCAGATGTTGTATGCAACTTGTCACCATCGAAGCAGCTCGTCAATCGCGTATCGAGGCTCACGATGGTCGAGGGCTGGAAGCGAATGGAAGATAATGCAGCCGTGATGAACGAACGCTTCCAGGGTCGGCAGACACGCACAGACATATCCGCCAGGCTGGACATCGATAGACTCTACGACTCTAGACACACACGCATGGGGAGTGACGATATCATCTCGACTTGGTGCGTAGAAGAGTTGCCACGATCCAGCTTGTCGCAAGGGAGATGTGGCATGGCGGTAGCTTCGTTACTGATCACGATGGATGCAGGGGAGCAGACATACCCCAAGCGAAGCCGCGGAAATACTTGATCGCGCACTGCTGGTAGTGAAACCTTAAGAGCCGGACGTCGGGACGACGATCTTCAGGCGGCCGGAAGCGTTCAGGTTTCAAAATCTTGCCGTGGAACCCTCGTAATGCGTCATCGCCAGGAGCGAAGACATGAACGATCAAGTCGGAGCCCTGGTGGAGCAGAATGTGCGCACGTCAATGACGATTGCCCCGCAAAGCAGCGGAAGAGTGACTGACCTTAGGATACAGTGCAATCTCGCCGCGATCGAAGGAATGGTGTAGATCGTCTCGGAGGAGCAAGCCATATGATGGCATGAACAGATAGCGAACCTCGTGTTCAAGCACCTCCGTGTAGTACTGGAAAGTGGTAAACGTATCAACGACTGTTGGCTTTTTTGGTCGGGCTCTTGAGCCGAGCTCACCTCAGGGCGAGATTGCGGCAGAATATGGGCAGCCGTGCATCGCTCGTACAGGGTGTCTGAGAGCAAGCAGCTTCCATCCCGAACCAGAAGGGCTTCGCGGAATTTGTTCTGCCAGTCAGAGGTTAGGAAAGGCCAGTCCGAGGGATGAGGGTACGAAGTGTCCATGCAGGGTTGCAAATTGTTTTCGACTCACCTGATTCGCACTAGACCGCTTCGAATTGCTCATGCTGCTCTCTGTGTCTCCCTCTACAGGAGCGCGGTATTTGTACTTGAATCTCGGACCTCTGCGTGGCCGGTGCGGCTCCGGGCCTGCCAGGTCGAAATACAGCTTGACGTCAGCGAATGATCGCACAAGTCGGTATCGATGACACTCACCTTCGCCCGCTAGGACCACATCCCCTGCACTGACGAGCTCTGAATCGTCAATGCGAGATCCATCCATCCGGACCAAAGTTCCCTCTCCTTCGAAAGCGTTCCGACACTGCTCCTTAACGAAATCGAACGATGGTACTCGTCCCAGCCGGATGAACTGCAACGGCAGCTCCAGCAAGGTCTGGCCTCTCGTATCACGGACGGTGAGGGTCCCCTCGCCGGACCACCACTGAGACGAGAGAGGGTAAGTGATACTGCCTTCCACTGGCGGCATCATCGCCATGATGCGCGTTGCAAAGAGGTCTCCGCCCACAATCCGCGTAGCCACGACGTGCGTGGCTCCGGAAGTGAATGTAAAGTTGAAACTCCGATCAATGGCCGGATCCGGATTCCCATCGTCACGTGTTGCAGCTGGGTGATGCGTGATACAGTCCCGGGCCGCGTTGCGGGGAAGCCAAAAAGGTCTCAGGATCTCAGAGACGATCGATACAGCTTGTCCGCATCCCACTTCAATCGCATACATTCGAAGGTAGAGGTTCAAGCGCGACGGAAACTATTCTGTGCGAAGCGAAGACTCTCGCCACCTGACCGGGGTCGCTAGACACAATCATCATGTTCTGGAAGGCCGGTTATCCAGAGAATGCGATGGCAGGCAAGAGTCGACACAACGCATTGGCCTTCGCCTGACACTGAGTGAAACGCTTTTCAGGAGATACCGTCAAGTTGCCTCACGGCCAAACGGCGCGAACATTCGAAATGGCCGTGCACGAGCGTGCGAACGTTGTGCGGTCGCCTGTCCTTTCCCGATCATCGCGGAAGCAGGGAAAGCAAGCGGTCTCATCACTCGCGCGACGGGGCAATCGAGTCTCTAAAGGGCTTTCTTAGTCTCCGTCTCTCCAGGCGCCCCGTTACCGTCGCGCCATGTCTCAGCTGTCAAATAATCCCACCCTCAATCTTGCGGCCCTTGGCTGCCGGGACAAGATCACAGTGCATCTTGTGGACGGCAAGGACCGCGCGTGACACTCTCGCGATGGAGGGCGGATCAGCGGACCTTCGAGGCCGCCGGAGTCGATGACGATCGTCAACGTCCAACACTGAACACTGGCATCCGCATAAAATGCATTCGCACTGCCGCCTACGTCTTGCGATGATAGGACGCATCGCAATGATAGGACGCCGAGGCTCCTGTCGCATCGTCATATTGATTCTCTCGGTGGACAGGCCAATGAATTTACCAGAACGAGTGACTTCGATAGCAGCGTACGTTCCGATGCGGACTTTACAGATGCAATGACCTCTCCGCGATAGCAGGGACTACCGCTCTGTATCGTCCGTGGACGAATCGCTGCTTGAGCAGCTACGCCTTGGCAGGTCAGTGGCAAGTCTTTTCACAGCCATCAGACGCATTTCAGCTTTTGCGACGCGGTTTCTATGACGCGTTCTCTGCGACGTCTTTGAGTCACCAGTCACGTGTCTTCACACTTTTTCCGCCCAATGAATGCGGGCGACAATGACACGTGGGACAGCAGATCGGCCCCGGGAAAAGGCCTGGGTTGAAACGTAGCATTTGAACTCGCTTTGCGCTTGTCTATTTCCCACGAGAACTGCTTTCGTCGTCCCTGACACTACCATCATTTCTCACAAGGCTTACGAGCATGGCGTTGCCACCGAAACCACCAACAGCCAACTTCCATATTGACACGCAGCTGCTCGCGCGTGTCAATGAGGCGAGATTCAAGCTCGCCGTCGACAGGGAGGCCGAGGACTCAGCGGAAAGCCAATATAAAGGCAGCAAACGATTTGCTGTGTACGGTTCTCTTGGTCCGGGATGTCCGAACCATTCGAAAATCTCACACCTGCAGGGCCGCTGGTACCACAACTCCTACGTGACTGGCGAGCTGCTGCAACAAGGTTGGGGCGCTGACATTGGTTACCCCGGCCTGCAATGGTCCTTGGATGGCCCATCGCACCCTGTTCAAGTCTTGGAAAGCCCGCTTCTCAATGACAAGGAGTGGTGCCTCCTAGACAGATTCGAAGGAGCAGGATACGTGCGGATTCTTGCACCAATAGTCACTGCGGAGGAATCCATCGTTGCCAACATCTACGTAGTGGCCAGAGCATCAGGTGCCTAGCGCGGCCGGAGAACCAATCTGAAAACCTCATCGCAACATTTTCTTCCCATCGCTTGCTCGGCCATTGTTCAAAGTTCGGAGCGACCATGGTAGGAGCACGGAGAGCGCGCCTTGCGCCTTCGAATGGACTGGTTTTGCCCGAGTCAAGCTACAGCAGGTTAGGCAGCCAGCAGAACGAAATGAGAGATTCTCCGCTGCCGTCACTTGCAATGTGCTCGAGAAGAGTTTGGTTCGGGCAACTCTAGCCGAAGCTGTCAAGCTTTCCACCAATCGACATCTCGCTACAGCCATCTGCAAAAACTCCTTTCCCCTAGCAGAAGCATTAGGTGCAGCACACTTTGCGGGCAAGCAGCGTGCCTACTTTTGCCTGATTCGGAGCGTTATGCGCAGCTTTGATCGCGGAGTAGGCGACTGCGTAGACCTAGCCGTATTTTGCGACGTGAAGGACAACACCTCCAATTACACATCTTCAGAGCGAGTGCAAAGTCACGTGCTGTAGGTGACCTCGAGGGTTGCCGCTCTCCTAAGCACCTCATCATCACTGCTGCTCGTCTTGTATGGGCTGACGAGCGCGACCTGAGCAGATCGTCATTGCGGAAACGCGCTCCCAACCCGGGTGGTCATGAGAACGACCAGACACGAAGCGCGTCCAGAAGCGTAGCGATAGCTTGAGCCGTCAGAGTCCGCACCGTGAACAGAAAGCAGACGGATTTGAGCGCATTTGACACCTAGAGAGATGTCTTCACCGTCGCCTTCTGTTGGCAGTCGAAGGCAAGCAAGCCAGCGGTAGAGCGGGTAAGAAGCCATTGGAGGACAAGCAGATATTGTATTGGAAAGGGGGCAAGATCGCGAACAATGGATCAGCACGGATGGGTTGATGTTGTGAGACTTGGCATCACGTCGTGCAAGGGTTGGGTCTTCTGGTGTGCTTTCGGCGGAAAGGAGCTGATCGCCGAAGCAAGGCCGCGACGACGCACAGGACACCAATAATGGTCGCCTTTGTCTTGTCGCTGTTCTGAGTGCCATAGCGCCAATGCTCCGTGAAATGGTCGACTGACCTGTGTCATCGAAGTATGAGATGCGACTCGGCGCGATTATTTTGCGCCCTGTGGGCGTCAGCAGACAAAGGATCTGGTGGCGTCGGAGTGACAATTGGTCGAGAGCCAGAGCGGGCGGGCACCGAGTGGCCCGACGTAGTTTTTGGCGAGGCCCGAAGCTTTGTTTGTCGCTGTCCTCGATGCGGAGCGACTTCTTGATGTGGCTTATCTTCGTCGAGATCGGCAAAGACCACAGGGGTCCAGAGGCTCCACGAGTGCGAGGGGGCAGCGCCGGATACAAAGGGGTCACTCAAATACAAGGACCATACGTTGATCAAGTCTGCATTGGCGGAGAGAGGAGACAGTGGCGGAGAGAGGAGAGACAAAGGAATACGAGTAAGGATGCAAGTGTCAGAAACATCGCTGCGCACCTCGCCGAGTGCACAAAGCAAACACTGGACGGCAAGGCGACGTACAAAAAGGCGACCCTCCAAGCCTCTGACATCAAGTCCACTCTGCAACCACGTACGCACAGATGGAAATCAGTCACGACGGCAACATGATCATCGAGCTGCACCTCGGGGAGATCCAGAAGATCAAGGGCGTCGACGAGTTCATGAAGAGCATCATCAGCTACGTGGATCCAGCGCGACACCTCGACGCCCCAGAGCGCGTCGGCCACATGTATCTGGCCTTTCTACTCTCGCTCTCCTACGCTAAGCTGGTAGTGAATCTCGGTAGCTGTCCTCCCTTGCTCATTTCGGTCGCCAGTCGACAATTCAAGGCGAGTTCGGGAGACGTAGAGTGCCTCACCAGCTGGCAACTGACTCTTGACGTTCGGCCTCGCACAGATCGTGACTGGCAGCTGGAGCTCGTCCGCGGCCGAGGAGGACCGTGCGCGCTTCTTCCGCCGACTGCCGACCCCAGAGAGCAAACTCAAAAGGAAGCGTGGTGGGGACAATCTCGACACCGACACAGAATTCTTCCTACGGCTGCAACAGAGCATATCCGATGAGCCGCCGATCGATGTCGAGCACGCGAAGAAAAGGCGCTTCGACAGCGTGGACAGTGAGGTACAGGGCCAAGACGGCGCAGGTGCTTCCCCGGTCGGTCCTAGACCGAACACGACACCGACGCAGCAGCTCGCTTCGGCGCTGACGGACGTTGGGCAAGCCGAAGCCACATCATTGACAGTGACACATCGAGTGAACCGCGCCTACTACGACCTCGGCGCTGCCTACGTACACTTCGCCGAGCTCACGTTCGACTCGTGCCCCTCTGCCAGCTCGTCTACCTTCCATCAACTCGTCTTTGGCTCCGTCGTCGTTGCGATCCGCGCAATGGCTGCCGAACCTGCCCTTCAGACCATGTCCGAGGCCGGACTCAAAAAACGGTTGGAAAGATCGCGCAAGTTTTTCGTACTCGTGGAGTGCTTTGGCCGAGGGGTCCTCGGTCTTGTGCCGCTAGTGTGCGTCACGCGCCTGGACAAGCTCAGCTTCGCAAGCATCCGCCGATACACGGCATTTGCATCGGCTAGCAATCTTGGGATGACGGTGATGACCAATGGCTCTGGTGGCACTGGGCGCTTCCTCAGGGCTCAGAGAGAAGCCGAACGTCACAGATCCGAAGGAGAGCGAGAGTTGCCTGCAGACAGCCTGTCTCCTGCAGAGTGATCGCGGCCTTCTTGCATCCGGCTTGCAGTGATAGGTCGGAAGGTCAGCATGATGTTGTGACGCCTTTCTTTGGAACTCTCACCCACGTTGAGGAAGACCTGCTGCGATTGGCTTGACCCTCCCAGTTGTGGCTCGCCACGGCTCATCGGCAAGAGGAGCGTAAGCGCCACACCACAGCGTCGAGTGAGGAAGCGGGAACGCATCCTGTTAAGCCCTGTTAAGCTCGGCGAGCTTCCCTGCTGCTATCCATGGCTGCATTCTGCGACGACGAACCATCGCTGAGTATGCGCGTACTGTGCATCCAATTTCACCGCTCGCGAAAATCTTGCCCAAAAGGAAGTCGCGCCCTCTGAGTGAATGCACGCCTTGGGACCCTTCGTGATGTTTGGATGATCTTGACGTTCAGCGGCGCAGAACTGTCATCCTTTCTTTGTACCCTGTCAGTCAAAGCGGCATTCCAGTCTACCTACAACGAAAGCCAGCTTGTCTTGTCCACAGCAGGCTGAGAGAAGCGCCCCTGGAGCGTTCGACAGCGACGAGCTGGCTTTGACGACGTCGCCACTCCATCGTCTTCTCACAGGAGCGCGAGATGAAGCAATGCTCTCCTGTTCGAGAGGCGCTGACAATGCTCGCTGATGGCCACCCGGAGACCGTATGGGGTCTGTCCAGCATCGATGAAACCGATCGAATGAGGGCCAGTAGCCGTCGTGGGTCTCGTCGGGCACGTGTCGTCGATCCCCGTTCAGATATGAAGACCACAGAGCTTGCCACACAGCCTCCCCAATCCTTGGACCTGCATTTCCAGCAGGATCCTTCTCGAGGTACAGTGACAGCCCGTCAGTTGTGGGCAGACTGTACAAATCTGCGATAGACTCGAGCTGGCCCTTGAGCGTTGTTCGGAGAGGTTGCACAGTCGCTCGAGGCACTGTCGCCCGGGTCGAAGAAGTCGCCCAAGTGGCGAGGTGGCCCGAAATGCTGAAGAACACAGAGAGCAATTCAGAGGCTCGATGGCACCGCAGTCAAGAAGTCCACCAGCACTCACAAAGGTGGGGTGAACACAACCAGACAGGGGCCTGTATATTCCTTCATTTCCACTGGCACGAGGAGCCAGCTCAACCCCCATTGAGGGTCATTGTAAGGCTGCCTATCACCACCGCGCAGATCATGCCAACTAAGGAGGCTGTCTCCGCCCATTTCCAGCGGAGGTCGACCCGGAGGCATGAGCTTGTGTCTGAGGAGGTGAAATCAAGCAGCAGTAGGCTTGCCAGTAGATGGAAGGTCTTCCGCAGAATACCTTGCAGCAAACGACGAGGACGCGTTGTAAAGCTGCGAAAGCAGGAACGCAAGCCCAGACGCGAGCAAGATCTGCCTGGAGGAGCTTGACGCGGGGTCCTCCAGCAGATTTGCCGCGCCACCGGCGGCTCAGCTCAGCAACGCGAGGTGCAAGGAGTAAGGCGAGGATTGGCAGGCACCTTGCCTTGAGACCGCATCTTTGCACAGGTTGTCTGGGGCGTGTGATACAGGTGGCTCCTCCTGGGTACCATCGCGGCGTGCCAAACTAACAGGAGAACTTCGCAGAGGCCTTACGCGACAAGATGAGACACTTATAGCGGACGCCTTCCGCCGCATGCGGCGTCCGTCCATCCAGTACCAACCTGTCGAGCGCGCTGGGAACGCCTCAGCGTCGGTTCTGTCCTTCCGATGTCGAATCGCGATCATCGATTACTCTTGCAAGTACGACTCCCGCAGACCACGCTGCTGCTCAAGCATTACCTGACAGGAGCAGCAGCGCGCAGGGCGCTGGGAACGATATACTCTTCCTTCGTATAGGGCGAAAGGAAGTGAGCAGCGCTCCCGGCCGGCTTGGCCTGACCCTAAGCACGGGCGCTATATCCACCTCGACTTGGACGGAGACCACTACGGACTGGGCCGGTACGACGAGCAGCGTCGCCTTCTTTGCTGCAAGAGCCGCTGCCAATACCCTTGCGAAGATGCAAACGAAGGAGACGGTACGTTCCAAGAGCTCAAAGTCGAACGGCGGTGGGACCAGCTCAAGCTGAAGCCCAAAGGTAAAAGCACGGCGAGCCCTCGGTGGCTTCATCAGCGGAAACAGTCGGCCCGCTGGGCAAGAATGGAGCACGTTCGCAATTGCAGGGCTGTCATTTGCTCTTCCTCCCGCTGCTGAGCCTCCTCCTGAGCCACCTGCGACGAGGAGCAAAGAAGCTTCGCCCTCCTCCTCTACATCAGCGTCTACTTCTTCGTCTCCATTCTGACCCGCAGCAGGGCGTCGCCCGCCTACAGCCACCAGCACGGAGATGCGCATTCGCTCTCAGCCGGGCCAGAGGACCATGATGGCCATCTCGGATACCCTGTCCAGCAGGCGGAGTAGCGGGGCTACGGCAACGGCAGCAGCAACATCAGCAGCGGAGCCGGTAGCCAGTGGCGTAGCGAACAAGGAGACCAGGTCGAGTTGGTCAGCCGTCCCGGTACGGGCAGCTACGAGCGCTACAGCCAGCGAAGAGGCGAAGGTGAGCGTCATCGCGAGCAGTGATGGAGAGCAGCAGGTATAGCGAAGGTAGCGAGACTGGGCGGGCGAGCGTGTGTTGTAGTGCTCGTGCGCGGGGAGCAGAATCGAAGTAGATCTCTCATTGATCAAGTGTAGCGGTCGTGCGACGAGGAGCAGGATCGAAGTCGACCTATCGTCGACCAAGTGCAGACTCCATGGAAAAAGTGGGGAGGTCACAGGAGGAAAGCTCGAGGGTCCGGTTTCGATGGGCTTGCAGCATCGAGCCGCAGATCGTGTACACGGCTGTATGCCACCTCGGGTCGCGCGCACGCACACGTCTGGATTGCCGTCGTAACCGCTCTTGCAGTGGCCTTCGGAGTTCGGAATGTCGTTCGGGTCCTGCTGGCCGGCAAGGATGGCAACAAAGCTGACGGTGGCTTGACAGGCTGTTGAAGTGATCGGAGGAGTCTAGGGGCTGCGAAATTCGGGGTTTTTGGAGACAACTTTGCCAGCGACATGGTAAACAGGCGGAAGAGAGTTCCCAGTCCGATCTCTGGTACGACAGCAACTTCAGCTTGCCCTCTGTCTTCGCGCCTAGAGCGGCGTGCCTATGGTCAAAACCGGCTCCAGGATTGGCAGAGGGGCCTCGAGGCGGCGAGGGAGAAGCAGCGAGGGGGCATCGTGGATCGCACAGTCCCCGACGTCAATGATTCTACTTTCGCCCTTGCGAACGGCAACTCAGCTCGTGTACAGCCGGTGTGAGTCATCTCAGCCACAGACGCGGACGGGTTATGGCGTTGGAATGACGGCGTTGCACAAGTCATTCCGAATCTCATGAGCAATCGCTTCTACTCCCTGCTGTCCCTGGCGCCTCCAGGCTTATGCGAGGCCGTAAGCGGCTGCTGAAAGGGCTTAGCGTCGAGTAGAGGGGCGTGCGCGCTTCGGTCGAATTCTCGAGCCATTGCGTCTCTACCGTGCGCATTGTTCTACTGATGGGCAACAGCAGCGAGAGTGAAAGCTGGGTGCTAGTACAGTGTACTTCGATGGAATCGAGGTGACCAAATGCAGCGTCTCATTCACTGGAACTCTGATGCCGCGCTGCAGCTGCCCGGTCTTGCCTGCCTTGACCACCTAGACTGCGCGAGGTCGATGACGCTTGCGCCGAGTGTAGCAGCGAAAGCTTGCATTGACGGACAAGAGACGATCTTAGGCCGCTCGTGAGACGTGTATGAGAGAATGAATGTATGGTGTGGGCAGGCTGACCTGAACTTGACGTGCAGTCCGCCTCGCCATCGCCGCCCGGGCCCGAAGGGGGGTTAGCGTCGGCCCTCGGTCCAATTTTAGCACAGGCATCGTGCTGAAGACCGCCGAAATGGCCCTCGACAATCGCTGCAGGAAGTGCGTCTCACGCGCGCGTGATGCGGGGAAACGGAACCTCGGTGGAGAAATCCTTCTGTCCCCCAACTCCTTCCGCTGCCCTATATCCCATCGTGAGAGTATTCGCTGCGGAAACCCACAGGCGCGATCGCTATCGACTGTCGTATCTTCAGAGTACAAAGGCGCATCTCACCTGCATCTCTTCACATGGTCAAAAATGCCCCGCGGCGCAGCAAAGTCGCCAGGGGTGCGACTGCCTTCGATCGTCTCGGTACTGGCCAGTGCGCCAGGAGACACCTTTACGTTGTCATCATGCCGAGTCTCTCTCAGAGATGTACCACAAGGAACGACGGCTTTCATCAACAATGATCGAGCGACGGAAGAACATGCGTTGCCCATCATCATAACAGCTCTCCCAGACATGTTACCAGGAGCTCGCCAGACAAGAGGTACTTCTTCGAAGCCGAATCGCGCTCTTTGCACTAGAGGGCCAAATCTTTGCGAAGCGCAGGACGCTTCGAGAGCCCCGACATCCCACCCGTATCCATACCTCGCTTGGACACCACTTCAAGATGGACCGTCCAGGCCCATCACCCTCGCACGGACAGTACCGCAATGCCAACGTCTCGCAGCGTCGGAAAATCCGGGCCGGCAAGTGGGCCGGCATGTCTTCGTCCCCACTGCGGCTGGTCCTTCGGACGCACATGCAGTACTGTTCAGCCTGAGATGTCCCTCGAACGACCGAACAGCAGATCGCAGGGAGGCGGTTTTGCCTTCGACAATCCCTCCGCCGCAATGGGCGGGACAGGCGTATCCAAAGATGGCAGAAGTTGATCGCTTCTCGTCTAGTCCATCAGTAGGCCGTCAAGTAGGCGACATCGCTGTCGACTACGACGGCAAAGATCCTCATGAACATCACGAGCTCGCTGTCATAGTAGACAGCATTTCTGGCAGGGAGCGGAACCTTCGGCAGGGCAGTAGCACAAGGAGCGGCTGGCAGAGACGAGCCCCGCCTAATATACGATCCGACGCTGTGCTCAGCAGCCGATATGGCCCTGGCCAACCAGCATCTTCTTTTCAGTTCTATACGCTTGGCGGCCAGATCAGCACGCTGCAAGCACGTCAGGATGCCAACGATGCCTGGCGGACATCTCAACGCTCTGGACGCAGCATTTTGAAGATCAAACGTGCGGGCGAACCATCGTCGTGTCTCGCCTGCGACTGCGTCGCCACGGCTGAATGGCGCAGCGGACCCACGGGTCCGAGGACTTTTTGCAATGCATGCGGGCTGCAGTATGCAAAGAGAGCGAGATGCGAGAAGCCAAGTGCTCGGTCATCGGTGGGCGACTTAGAGGACATTCTTGAAGATCTGCGCAGAGAGAGAGGTCACAATAAGCTGCGACAGCAGATCCGTCCTCGGGCATAGATGCGCAGTTCCTCTACATCTGTCAGACAAGGACTTTCTCGACGTGCGTTCTCGCTGACGAAGCAAAAGATGAGGATCTATCGGCTTTCTGACTTCTGGCGTGGACCCCTGCTCGTCAGCATGGAACCCTCATGGCGCAAGTCGGTGCGTTCAGTCGGCATCGCGAATGAGTTTCGGCCACGACGATGTTCATTCTGCTGCTCGATCTCCGCATCTCAGAGCAGCTGCCTGGCCTGCTTCGATTTTCATTCTTGTGCACAAACTAAGCCTCTACCCCTATGTTGAAGGTCACCCTGGTCGCATAGGTTGGCCGTGGCACCCGGCGGGCGGCTGAAGACCGCAGACTGAGACCATTCCAGGAATTGCCGTCGCTTCTTGTTCAACGAATGAGGTCGCAAGAAAGTACAGAGGTCAGATGAGGTGCGCTGGGCCGTAGCGCAAAGTGCTGTGATTTTCGTTGGCGACTTCACTTCCCTCTGAAGGGCATGGCCAAGTCCGCGGCGCCATTGACCTGCCATCGCCAAAGCGACATCGCTGCGTGGCGGACGCAAGTCGAGGCTGCCAAGCGTGCCTACAGCTGTTTCTAGACAGTGTGTGGCCGCAGTCCTTCTAAGCTCCAGGGCAGAGCGCCTCTGCGATTGCGAAGGCTGACATCACCAACCCGTGGCAGGCCTGGCTAGATAGCGAGGACGAAGACACAGAACTGCCTCTCGCGTCGCCTGCGATCCTGCTTGATGAAAAATGTCTGAACATGGCGGCGAAGAAACAAAGGCACAAGGAGCCTAGTACTGTGGCACTCGTCTGGTGGCAGGCCGTTGACGAGAGACCGTTCGCGCTGATACGGTAATGCTTCTGCGCGAGCACGCCTGTCCGCAGCGTCTGCGACAGATGGCGAGCGGACTCTGAATTGAGATGACCGGCCATCTCTCGACAAGATGGTCCCACTCGATGCAGACATGGCAGTCTGCGCTGCCGCTGCTGCTATCGCGGTGGCAGCTCCGATGCGCCGCCGAAGGGTTGCGTGGCGCTTGTCGCTTGCACGGCAGCATGTCCGCGCACGGTCCTCTCATTGCCATCAGTGTCACATCCTAGTCGTCCGTCGGTGTCACATCCTAATCGCCATCGATCGCCATTGCGCCATGCTACCAGCTGGATATGGGCATGATATAAAATTGGCTGAGGCGTCGATGACTTATCTTCCCCTTCTGCATACGGGACGATTATTTTGACACACGAGCAAAATGTCTCATCGAGCCGTCGTTAAGCACCTTCCCGCCGGCACCTGTCTTGGTGCAGGGGCATTCGGGAGCGTCCATATCGAGCACGTCGGAGGTGTCCAGGTGCGTACGCAAGCATCTGTGCGCTCGATTCTTGCTCGAACTGATCGTCGAAACTGCTCAGATGGCTGTGAAAAGGGTCAACGGGGCCGTACGGTCAAGCACAAGGGCGTACGCTCGTCGCGAAGCGGCTCTGCTACAACGGTTGCGCCACGACAACATCGTGGCCTTCCATCATTTCGAGGAACGCGAGACTCTCTCTCTCCTGTCGATGGAATATTGCGCCGCAGGCGACCTGCACAGCTACATCCATGATGTACCGTGAGTCAACGACAAAGAAGCGTTGCATGACCGAAAGCTGACGATCCGGCTGACCAGAGACGAGCACAAGCGCTCCTCGGACTTGTGTCGAATGGCTGCTGAGCTTTTATGCGCTGTGCACCACTGTCATTACGGTATGGGTCCCCACTACCTGCTGCACGGCGATATCAAGCCGTCGAATGGTAAGCCCTGCACGAGCTGGCAGCCATCTCGCTGGGTCAGTTCTGATAAAACATGACCACGTGGTCGCCTTTAGTGTTGATCGCAGCAGACGGCACCGTGAAATTAGCCGACTTTGGCCTGTCGAGGCTGAAGATTGGCGGCCACCTGGAACGATGGAACTTCGTCGGCGTGAGTCACCATCTCGACAAGACGCTCAGTCGGCGAGGCACAGAGTACACTACATGCAACCCCATTGAACGACCTGAACCCCCCTCTGCCCCCGCCAAACTCCCTTACTCTCCTCTTTTGGCTCCTTGGTTCCGTTTACTCGCTCAGACGCCAGGCTACACAGCTCCAGTGAGATTGTTCGACGATCTTGGCCCATTATTCGCGGCGATGTAGCTGCTGATCAAAATCTCCGGTCGCAGGAGATCCTCCGGCGTTTGCCTTATGGACCAGCCAGCGACGTTTGGTCTTTCGGTTGTACCTTGTACGAGCTCTTCACCTCCAGGCGAGTGAAAGCGAGATGAACGGTGTGCTTTCGCAGTCGCTGTAGCTGACAGCCATCGCAGGATGCTTTTCCAAGAGGTGCCGGCTCTGTCGACGCGGACAAAACAAGGTCTGCTCAAAGATCCCTTCTACAAAGAGGCTCTGGCCTTGTTGTCTTCGGACTGCACTGATTTGATTGAGTCAGCTACAAGAGCACACGTAGGTCGCTCGATAGCATGCATGGCAGGACCGAACAAACCTTTCTGACACCCCGACCACTTCCGATCAGGCGAGTGAGCGGCCGACGACCGCCGCACTACTGGCTCAGTCTCACATTCTGGTATGGTTGAAGAATTCCGTTGCTTCGGCAGGTGTCGTTCAAGGTGGCGGGCGTTCTTTCGAGCGACGAGGCGGCCACATCGAGCTACGCGAAGACTGCTCTTTTCAGCGTGCGGCAGACGGGCCTGCCGACGCTATGCAGTCCACGATGTGCCAGCCAGCTCCAATGCCCGGCAGGACCCACAAAGGCTTTCAGGTGGAGCGCCAGGTTGCTGGCAATGACTGCCAAGAGGGCGATCGTCTGGTGGGTCTGCAGAGTCAGTATTTCACCGCCATGCCTCGGCCGTTGGCGTTCAGCACAAAGTCGGTGAGACAGAATTTATCCAAGTGAGTTCGTTCCGCGAGGAGAAAGGGCTGTCTCGAATGCTGACCTACTGAGATCCTGCCGCCCTTTGTTCAGAGGCTTCAAGAAGCTGAAGTTGGGATAGACCTCTCCCGACGCAGCGCCTGCAAGCTGTACACTGAAAATTTTGGAATCGTCTGTATTAAGAGGTTGCGCGTCCGATCGCGAATGAAAGGATCCCGTCCTGTTTGACTGCTTCACGTCCACACCACTTTCTTCTGTCGCTTGATGGCGCCATGTACGCGCCATCGACGCCAACGACTTTTGTTGACATTGCGGCTCTTTGCGTCTCATTTCAAAAGGCAGACGGCCGCGCTGATCATAAGAAGAGATATTCGGCCGGGTGGTGTCTCACGAGATCGCTCTTCGGCTGAACCCTGATGCTTGATGCGACCATCTCGGGACAGCGGGGCGAATGTGCTGTCAGTCGCGCCTGTGACGGCCAAAGGGACCTACGTTGCTGGTGTCGAAGTGGGAGTGCAGGCGCTGACCAGCAGCTCGGCTCGCCCTACGCACTGAACAGACTCGTGGCGTCGTCTGATGAAAATTCAGCACCATCAGGTGCCTTGTCGTGTATATCCTTTTCTGTCCATTGGGCGCCGGCGACAGCTTACAGATTGTAGGGGGCAGATTGGCCACTCAAAGCACAGCGGGTTTGAAGCTGTTCCTGCAGTGTAGCGACCGAGGAAAACAAAGCAGTTCAATACCTAGCGGAGCCCGAGTAGCACGGAGCAATTGCGCCCGGAGATCGACGAGGGCCCTGACATTACTTCTCGGAGGCGAGGGCGGTCAACAGGGGAGATGACCGTCTGAAGGGGTTTTCGGGCTTGTCCTGTGCGCTCTTATCCCCCGCATCGTACAGGATGGAAATCGTGGACCTCAAATCCGCAATTGGCCAACATGACGCAGATCGACGGCATGCCAGAAGGTATGCGCAGCACCGTCAGCTACAGTGTGTCGATTCGACTTAAATCCTGAATACGCTCCTCGGAGCCAATCACTTGTACAGCATCTCGCTCGCATGCTGTCGCCCGCCCGGGTCAGAATTCTGGCGGAAGGCCATGACTCATTAGCAGCTTTTGTCGCTTCTGCCCGTCAGCGATAAAGGGCGAGGATACGCTTGCCGCCGCTGAGCTGCCCACCGAGTGCCCAATTTCCTTCGCAGACCAGGGTTGGAAGGTACCATTGCTATGCAGTAGAGGCAGACTTCACTTGAATCTCCTTGTCACGCCATCGCCACGCTATCAAGGGTAAACGCTGCCTCGAGGGTCCAGCCTTCGATGAAACCTATGCGTCTCATTGACAGAACGGACTGACACCTCTTGCAGCGACAATGGGGAGCGTTGGCAAGTCCTGCGAGCACGAGGGAAAGCTGCGAAGAGAGGCTGAGGTGGACGCCAATGGGATCCATGGCCATGCGAATGTCTTGAGTGCCTTCCAGAGTGCTGCTATCATTGAGCTGAGAACGAGACAGTAGAGCGATCGGCAGCATAGAGTGGACTTGCCATCTCTGATGTCCGCTCCTCGGTGCCTTTCTGGCAACATCTGCCGGCTCTGCAGAGTCGGTAAATGACTCGTCAGATACACGGAAGCTGTGTGCCCTGAGAGGCAGGCGCTATGCCGCGCTTCGGCAGTATGCGAGGCCTGCCCGTGCCCTACGTTGTATGAGATGGGCTCATTCATCGCCGTCAAGCGAGAAAGCTTTGATGACGATGGCCCAGCACATGCTGACTCCGTAGGCCAGAGGTACCGGCAGCGCGGTACGCTGTTGCCGGAGGAGTGCTTGCCAAGCGAAGATGAGCCGTCACGCCGTTGCTTTGACTGACTCCACGTTGCTTTCTCCGCTTGATCACAGCCATTCACTGCGACACAACTGGAGAGTGAATGACCGACAAATTTTCCGTTGCGGCCCGCGACGGCCTCTGGGAACAGGCGCTCCTGTGCTTGCCGGCGCAGGGCTCGCGACTGTAGGCATGCTGGACCTCCTGACAAGCCTTGACGCAGCAGCGCAAGCGTGAGCTCAGTGTGCGAGTCTCTGAGTACCCTGCGGTGAGCCGCTTCGTGTGGCAGAGGTCAAAGGCGCGCGAGAAGGGTGGCCCTGTAGTGCGGAACAAGCTCCCAGATCGATCCAGCAGATCTAAGCGTAGCCGATATGAGCCATTCAGCCGTGATTTTCGAACCACGAAGACAAAGAAGATGCGCAGACCATCCATTCGACCAGCTTGCTCTTTGCCACGCGGAGGTAGCCATGTGATGAAGGGACACTGCACGACCGCACCCTGTAAAGCGGGGCTTCCATTTTGGCCGCATCTGACGCCTTCGAAAGGCTCACTTGCCCTCGCAAGTCGCACACTCAATGCGACTTCGAGCAGACCTGCGAATGCCCTGTGAACAGAGAATATGTAAGGAAGCCGGCAGCGATCATTGGAACCTGGTCTCTGTCGTAATGAAACCGCTTGTCCTGAGCCTTCAGCTCGCAGATGAGCGGATGGTGGAGGCGCAAGAAGTCTTGTGGCTCGCCTGTTTTTCTCCTGGGGGAAGCTTCCGCCGTGAGGGTGCTGAAGTATATCCAGGTCAAAACCAGGCTCAGAACAAGTTACGTCAATTCCATAGACCTTTGCTGAAGTGCGCACGCTTGGGAGACCGAAAGCACGCTTTTCAGAGTATCTTTGATCAGTACTTCGCCACGGGAAGAGGCGCAAATCGCAGCGAACGAACGCACCTAGCACTGGGGGAGGGCGAGTTGGATAATGGCGAGCCAACGAGCATTCTGAGCAACACTTGCTGTTGGACGGGCGTAGGTTGTTGCGAAAGCAGCGGGGGCCGAGTTAGCGGGCAGCGTCTACTAGACGCTTCGGATGCAAGACAAGCGTACGGCGGCTCCTTCCGCCGCTTGCCTCTTGTAATTGTCATCCCTTCGCACTTTGAACAGAGGAGGCTCACTCTCCTCTCGGAGCGGGGCATCCATGTTGACTGCTCGACCGGCCTCTACGGTACAGGATTGGTGGACCAGATCGGCTTGGTAGCGGAGTTTGAGCTCCGCTTCAGGCAGTTCAAGCAGAGAAGCGATATCTTGACTTCTGCGCTCGTCGATATTGTGACAACTGTGATCACAATCTCGTATGAGGGTACGTAGCACGGCCGATTACAGACGCCGAGGGGCTATCGCTGGCTGCCCGCGCGGCTCAGGGGCAGGGAGCTGGGAATGAATCCCGTGGCAGCTTAGCGACGCCCGGAGTTGACCATTGTTTGGCCGCTGTCTTCGCTGATGGGACAAGTCGGGAATACAGTACCGCGCGGACGAAGGCAGCCGGAGACCGCCCCGGGACCCTCAAATCTTCTGCATTCCCCACAACGCTCTGAAACGGGACAATCAATACGAAGGTGCGACTTGCAAGCTCTTGTCGGATCGATTGCAACGCGCTGTGTTGCTCACAACCCAAATTCTCGGCCGGCAAGCGGAGACGACCAATTTGAAAGCAAACACCCCTCCGTCACCCTTCCGGCATCCGCTGTTTTGGCTTGAGTCCAGAGGCAAGATTTCTGTATCACGGATGCACTCGTGAGCGAGTACTGGCTGGCTGTCCCGATGCGTCAGATAAGAGCAATTGCCTGGCTGAGTGAGCGGGGTTGGCAGATTCCTCGACCGCCTTAGCGGCAATGCCCTGCGCATCGGCGTACTTGGAGCGTTCACAAGCCCTTGCCCGCGACTACGCGCCCGCCCACGACATACCGGGCCCCAAGGTGGCGTTTTCGCCCCGCCAAAACAAGTGGGCCACTCCAAAGTCCGGAGCTTCCATGTTGTTGAGCTGGCTGGACTACGAGATGCGCACAAGAGGGGCAGCGGGTGTCGTCTCTGTCATGTTGCCTTGCTCGTACGCGCATTCACGGATCAGGCGCAGAAGGGAATAGAGGGAGGAGCACTGCATCGAGCCGCACGAACAGTCACGTCGATCGCATGCCGCCCAGGCTAATGATCGCCGCTCACTGTTCTGGCAGGGTGCGAGATGTGCGCTCTTTGCTGCTACCGAAGATCTCAGACGTGTGCCGCATGGCACCCGCCGCTGTCCGAGCTATCCTGGATTGAGGCGGTACCGGCCAGACGAGACATTCAGTACGTCGTTCTTCCCGCGTCTGAGCGTCGATTAATTCGGCTGGGTGTAAACCATAGCTCCGTCTTCGGACCAAATTGCAGCACACATGCGACTCTCGACCCTGAGCTTTCATCAATGTGTTGGCTGGTCGAGCTTTCTCGCGCAGGGCCGCGGTACTACGGCTGCCTAAATGCAGGAGCGCGCTCTAGCGTCTCTCTGAGCTCAGTAAGCTCGCAGTACATTGTCGAGGCCTCTCAGACACTGCGTCCTAGTATTGCCTTTGCCCACAGGACTCCGTGGTTCCCGGTCGTCTACACCCCGGCTTGCGTCTTGACTCTCTCTGTCTTCTCTTTACCCCTTCTTCGACGGGCCGAGATCGCTGATCGTGGCCGATGATCCTGGGTACAGAAGCCATCGAAGTCGCTATGAGGCACGCGGAGTCGTCGGGAAGCTCCCTCACCATCTCTCCTTGATGACTGCTCTAACCAGCTTTCTTCATCCCTGTTCACACAACAAAGGCCCTCCTTTACAGTTTATTTTGCCTTGTGGCGTTTGGCGTCTCCGACACATGCCGACGTTGCCTCTCTCATGCTCATAGAGGAGACGTTGGCAGCTGCCGAATACAAGGCAGAACGTCGACGTCGCCAGGTCAGAGAGGCTCAAGCTCGTGTGAGTTCACACCAGGTTGAAAGGTGCAACAAAAGCGTGCCGCTCAAGCTGACACGGCCCGTGCTTGCGTTTCGTCCTTCCAGTACCGAGACCGCAAAGACCGTGAGCTCGAAGAGGTAAGCACGGGGCCATGCTGAAAGTCAAGGGCTGAGACGCCGTGATCCGTCAAAGGCACGGGGCCATGCTGAAAGTCAAGGGCTGAGACGCCGTGATCCGTCAAAGCCGACATTCTAATTATCCTCCTCCTTCAGGCACGCCTTCAGGCACGCCTTCAGGCACGCCTTCAGGCACGCCTTCAGGCGGGATCAGTGTCTTCGCAGCTTCATCGATCGCGTCAAGAGAATGTATCTCAGCGCGCTCGTTTGAGAGGCTACGAGACCGTGGAAGATGTTGCTGGCGGCAGTGGCGGCGGCGGCGCCGAATCGTCAGATCGACCACTAAGGCTTCGCGTACGATCGGAATCTCAAATGACTTCGCCGACACTTGACCAAGCGAAGCCCTCGACTCAGCACGCCGGTTCCACTGCCATTGCTAGCGGTCTCGATGGGTGCAGCCTGGCTGGAGGGACCGGATGTCGTACCACGGTGCAGGTCACTTCTCAGGGTCGGGATCTAGCCAATTGGAGGCGTTTGGTCTGCCAAGGCTCAACGAGACGACCTTGTCAGAAGGCTCGACGAAATCGCCGTCGAGCTCATCGTCGTCGTGGACGCACCGATATGGAGTGCTCAGGTCGGCCGGACCTCCCAGTCATCGACAGCACAGCTTACCGGAGCCCATGTCAGGTCGACCGTACAGCTCACTTGAATCGCATGCCTCATACGCTGGATCGGATGAGAGTGTGTGACTTTGCGCATGGGCTCAATGGACACTGAGAGCTTTACGCCCCTGGGCCAAACTGCCTCGTTATCAGATGGAATGCTATCTGATCATCTGACCAATGAGACTCCTTTGAATGACATGAGTTGGGCGGCGGAGGAAACGACTGCGCAGTACGACCGACATGATGCAAGGAGAGCACATGCCGGTTCTCCACAAGGAGCCTCATTGATGGCAATGCCCGCCAGGCCTGTCCAGCAGCAGCACCAGCACCAGCACCAGCAGCGGCGAGCAAACGGCGTGCAAGCATGGCGCCCAGATGCGCTCCAGCATGTAGCGTCGCATCAACCATCGTTCGTATACCAACCACTCTCGCTGGAACAACCAGGCGTTTCGACAGGCATGCCATCTCAGCCATCTTCAACGAGGGGCTCCAGCCAACACCCGCATTCGCCAATGGACGCCGTGAACCTGTGGCAACGACAGGACAAGCGTCGCTCGTAGTGGAATGCGATGCTGTGAGACATTGCATCCAGACAGCAACGTGTAGCTGGGCGCGCACTGAGAATTGTGGCCCGCTAGACGCTCGATGACTTGTCACGCGTTGAGCTGGGCATTTGCCATGTCGACCGGGCACAGTGGCGGGCGAGCGGAGTGGGATGTGAGGCTAGTGACGTGATCAAAGACGACTTGGATTGGAGACACACCCACTGATAGTCTATGTGAGCTGATTTTGCTAATAGCCATGCGCTGTGATGCCAGTGGTCTCCTGTTGAAACGGATCCGTACCACTGTCGAGAGGGACGACCGAATTGACCACGTGGCGTCATCGTGGCCTCTGCGCTTTCCGAGTCGAGGCAGAGGTGGGCCGCACTCAGCGCTCAGTTTGTCTCTCTGTTTCCATCTCCCGCACCCAACGACACGAACATCCTCAGCTCGAGGCAAGGCGAGCAATCTCTGCAATGTCTTGGAGAAACAATTGACAGAGGACAGGCGAACACGTCGCACCGCTACAGAATGCCCGTCGGTGGGGCGGCGGCCGCGGCGCAAGGGGAGCCAGCGATGGATATGCGCCTCCTCCGATGGCCACGTCAGCATCATACGGCCAAGACGCAGCAGCAATGGCAGCAGCTGCCAGACCCGCCGAGATTGCAGCAAATCTCGCCGGCGGTGGCGGTTTATATTCTATATGGGGGGTTGAAACGAGACCGAGCAGGATCGGATGGCAGCCCCGCAGGAGGAGATGATGGTAAGTTGTTCACTACATGCTGCGTGTTGCCCTGGATCAAGTCTTTCTCCTTCTCTTATACTTTCCGCTCTCTCTCTCCTAGCGCCGCGCAAACGACGCTCTCGATGGAGTGATGCTGCGCCTATTACAGGAGTAACGACGGCAATCCCAGGCGTCGTCAACGTCGCTGACTTGGACCGATATGCCCCCCCGGTCCGCCTCGACGAGATCTCACGAAAGCTGCAGACAGGCGACGTTGTACCACCACACCGCGAGCGTAGTCCATTCCCTCCTCCCATCTATGATGATCAAGGGCGTAGGACGAACAGCAGGGAGGTCCGCTCCCGCAAGAAGCTCGAAGACGAGCGCGTCCAAATCGTCGATAAGCAAGTCAAGCTCAACCCGAACTACCGCCCGGGAGGTGGTTACTAAAACTTTTGAGACTCTCGCTGCATCACGAGCGATACGAGCTCTTCTGCTGACCCGCTCCTGTCTTGCTACTACCCTCTTCTCAAGGCTGACTGCGCTGCCTCTACTTCGAGGTTGGCGCAAGACAGGCGTCGCTAGCACCTACCCCTTGGCTAGCCCGAAGCGAGCATCAAAAGGAGCACGACGTGCTTACTTTGAGTGGGCTCAACTCATTTTATTTTCCTCCAACCGCCCCCAACATCTTCCACTGTATCGTCTTCCTCACCAACCGCTACTGTTTACGCTTCTCGTGCTAACAAATCACTCTGCTGACCTCAACGCGAGAGTCCTTCGCCGAGTAAGACTGATCTCGCACAACAGCGTGCTCTACAATCTTGACTGTCGCTCCTTCACCTGCTCGTCCCCGTCAGCTGCTCAAGTAGGCCGCAGACACGCGGGCACCAAGACTGGGTAGAACTGTGTCGCGCTGCAGAGTGAGATCCAGCGACAGACGACTGACTGTTGCGGCCGGCTCAAAGGTCCGGGAATACTTGCGAGACTCTTTGCCTGCCTTCCCTCGTGACCATGCTAGCGCTCCCTCCCCTCGCGTTCCATTGCAAGCCAGCTCCAAAGTGCGCCCTGACCAGCTATGGCCCGTCGGTCAAAGCTACGTGCAGAGCAGGGTGCGAATCTCCGTCCCGGTGAGTCGTCACTGTTCGTCTTGCTGCCGTGGCTCCGACCTTTCCTCGTTCGCGTCTTGTTTCGATCTCTTCGCTCCTCAGAGGGCGCCTGCGATGAGGTGACGTTGCAGAGTAGCAAACGATCCCTGCGCAAGTGCTGAGAGCACCAAGTCATCGTCGATAAAGACATTTGCAACAAGGGCGAATACCAGTACATGCAGCGGCGAAGCGTACGTACGGGGCGCCAGGAAAGGAAGGCCCAAAGGGCAAGATAGAAAGAAAGAATGCGGAATAACGCGAAGAGAGATCGCCTACTTGACATAACGATACCTGACCTTCTCTGCCGCCAGCAAGAAGATTGAGATCTCCCCAGACTTCTCGATACTTCCAGCGCTATTAGCGCTATTGATTCCTTCCCCAACCTGCAAGCCCATCTTGCCCGCCTTGAGCGACTCACGCACAATGATATAACCCAGCGGCCCTAGATCGCAGTTGGCACAGAGCAGGTACTTGACTGTCAAGGCAGGACCAGTCGAAGCGGCGGGAGCGGAGGTTGGATCGCTGCCGCTCGGTGTGGAAGGGGAGGTTGAGGAGGCTGTGTCGCGCTGCGGGCTTGTGCCGTTGCCGCGGCTGACGGGAAGACCGGAGCCAGCCCCGCCACGGCCAAAGGGCGCTGTGCCCTTTTCTCCAGGCGGGGAGGAGCGCCGTTCTGGGGAAGCGGCTTCGGTCGCTTGGAGTTGCTGCCCTTGCTGCCGCTCTTGTGACCACCGCCGCCGCCGAGGAATGTTGAGCGGCGGATGGGGGAACGACCCTTCTACTCGCGGCAGCAGCCGCAGGCGTCGTCGCCCCGCTCGCAACAGTTTCTGTGGTCTCATCCTCGCCAGCGCTCCCCGCTGCATCGCCTCCGCCGCTACTTGTGGGCATCCGCCGCTCGGCGTCTTTGCTAAAGGCGATATTGTCAAGGCTCGTTGCGCTTACCACGCTCCAGAAGGGTCGGATAGGCGTCAGGCACTCAATACTAGGCGGCGCTCCGGGAAGAGTTCTCCTGACCACGTCCCTCCTCTCCTTCAGCGCGCGGATATGGCTCGCCGGAGCAGGCGGGGGCAGAGGAGTGGGTGGCAAGCCGGACCATTGAGGCAACCCAACGTCAGGCTGCGAGAGCGGACCACTCTCTGCAAGCTCCCACATAGCCATCCCCTTTGCGACCAGCTTGCATCTGCACTCCTCCCTCGGGCAACAGATTGCCGCTAGGTTCGTTCCTCCCCCTTCACCGCCATCCCCGCCCTTTGCTGCTTTCTTCGCCATGCGCTCCTCAATAGCGAGGAAGGCGTCCTCGACGAATGTCTTGCCCGCTAACGTCTGGCCCAAGATGGAGGAGAAGGGCTGGCTCAGATTGGTGCCGAGCTTGTACGAGATGAAGGCGAAGAAGGTGGAGAAGTCGGAGAGGGCCGCCAGGAGGTCGGCTTGAGTGAAGCCTGCGAGACCGACACCTTTCCCGTTGCCTGCGCTTGCTCTCGCATCACCCCACCTGTGCCGCCTATGCCGTCCTTATCACCCGCGCCGCCCGCGCCGCATTCCTCGAGCCCATCACCTTGCCATCATACTTTGTTCTCGCGCATCGCTTACAGGCCGAGCCTCGGGTTTTCCCTCCTCCCACTGAGGATCGCTACTGGTCACAACACAAAGACGCCGCCAAAAAACGTTCAGGTTCTGTCCGTGGTCTATGCGCTGCTGAGCCGTCTCTCCCGACGTCAAGGGGCCAGGGAACGCAGCAGGCGGCGCAACGGCGTCAAGGCCCAAGTCACCAGCGTTGGCGCCCGACGACATCGACAATCTGCGCGTGCCATCGCACGACGACGACTCGAAGCCGCTCGACGCCCGACTGCTCGCCTGGTGCTGCGATGATGTCGAAGGCGCCGTGCCATCAAGCGACGATGATTGCGACAAGGTTGAGGGCTTGCCTGTCGCCTTTTCCAGAGGAAGTAGAGGAGCAGAGGAAAGAGGAACAGGCGGAAGAGAGAGGGCATTTTTGACGACAGCAGCGGACAGACTGCTCGCTACAAAGGATTGGTAGAAGTCGTCGACCTCGTTGCCCGGAGACGCTGCTGGCGGCGCGCTCGGCCGAGCGACAGAGGTGAGAGCGTCAAACGAGGTAGGCACCGACGCTGAAAACGACGACACTGTGGTGCTGAGTCCAAAGAAGTAGGGCGTTAGGGGTAAGACGCCACTCCCCGCTGCCGGCACAAGGCTCTCTGGGTCGAAGATGCCTGAGGCTGCTGGCGAGGACCACGGCCGCGATGTTGGCTGCATGGCTGCAGTCGCCATGGCCGACTGCGCAGGGCTGCTGCTACCTTCGGCACGTCGTTCCTGCAGGCCCGATGCAACAGCGCCTGCGGTGCTGAACAGCAACGGCGACTGCCACACGTTGCGCGTATCGTCGCTGACCTCGTAGCTCGCGGTGCCCC